TGAACAAGTGAAAAATTTATATATTTGACCTTAGGTTGAAATTTAAAAAAAAATTGTCTAAATTCCCTTAGAAGAAAATTCCCTTACTCCTTGTTTTTACTTAGAACTAAATAAAAAGTAATCAGCTTGTTTTGAACATAATATATATCATTTGTAAATTTCCTTTTTAGAGCATATATATATATAAATTATTAATAAAGATACTTCCTTTATTCACAAATTTAAAAGGACAGAATAAACTTAAAGGGGTACATAACTGGACACTGTAAATGTTAACTAACAGAAAGGGTTTGTGGGGCATTCCCTGCTCAATTTGCACACCTCTTAGCAGATTTTTACGTCATTATGTCCAAGTTTTCAAGAAGACTGTTTAAACCTGAAATAATTTTTACACTGATAAATTTTGATGTCACATTTGTAAGGCTACACTTATAAATATTTTAGTTTGCCCTTACCCTACACAAAGATACTTTTTAGAGACAGTGGGTAGGTTGGTAGGCATTTTCTTTTTTCTCACAGCAAAGGGAAATTGAAATGTCAGATGTTTTTGAGTCTTCATGCCTATCAGATTAAAAGAAAACTTTTTCACATCAGAACAATAAAAGAATTTGGGTAGGCAGCTATGTTTTGGGTAGGTAGGGTTAGGGCAAACAAACATATATTCTTTTGTATGGTCAATGCATTCCTTTAAAAATAAACAGAATGCAAGGATTACTACATAAAATTTATAAAATCAGTTAAAGTTAATAACCAGATAGCATGTCTAAATGTTATGATAATCTTAGATGTCTGTAAAATTGTGTACTGATGTTTTTGTTCAATAATATGAAAGAACCCAGGTTTTTAGTTACATCTAAAGATGTCATAGTTTATATTTATGTTAGCTTGGAAAATATATATTTATGGATCAATGAGTAATGATTTTCTTCTGAAATTTATATGAACAACAGGTATATATACATGTACAGATTCTTGCAAACAAAAATACATGTACAATAAATGTATATGAATGGGGTGTCTGGTTTACAACAACAGCCATATGTCTGTACCAAACCCTGTAACTGTGTGCAAGATGAAACAAACACCCTAGCCTCACCCCCTTCGACCATATGTTAATGATGGGATCATAGGTAGCAGTAGTCCAGATAATTATAACCAAAAAAAAATAAAATAGCCTTTCAAGACATCATAATTATTGGTCTTATCAGTAATTGAGTTAGGCTAAGGTTTGGTTTTACATTGGTTTATTCTGAGACATATATACAAGTGAATATGTGTCTCTCAAACACTGATTTAGGGGGTGAGCAGGCGCATTGGACCCCCTCTTGTAGGGAAAATTTGGTGGATATATAGGGAATCACCCAGGCACGACTGGAGCATATATAGGGACTGGACTACAGATCAGATATATAGCCAATAAATCGTCTACAGTAGGGGCATACGTCTTTTCGTTTTTTTTAAATGTATGTAGACGATTGACGCGGTATAATATATTACATATATTTGACCTGTAGTCAAGACTGAAGTCCCTATGCCATGGACTGGAGCAGCCCCCCCCCGTAAATGAAAATTTGGATCTGTTACTGTCGCTGGTTTAATATAGCTCTTCTGTATGTTTTCATATGTAACACATAGGGTAGCTCTCGTATGCATTCGTTGCGTGTAACTAGTACTACCCCCCTTTTATAATCGTCTTTTGAGTGCCTAGATGCCGTGTTTGTACACAATATTTACAGCTGATTCAGTATTCAAAATACTTATTTTGGTATCGTCTCTGTTCCAGTGATATATGCCCTACATCTTGGGAAATATCTAAGAACTTCTGAACATATTTTTGTTTTCCGCTTGCTGATAGTTCTGTGAAATTAGATAATCGCGCCAATGACGTGATCTCGTATACCGCGTTGCTTCATAAAACTCATGAATATTCATACTCATGTGAGTTTTGAGGTGGATGAATTCAATCCTATACTTTCTGACCACTGTCCTATACATGTAAAAATTCTATCTCAATTTTCTGATACAAATTTACAAGATTGTTTAAAGAAAAATATGAGAAACATTAGATGGAATGATACTAAGGAAATTTCTTTCAAGTCAAACTTATTAAATTTTGATTTTAATCAATTATGTGAAGACTTAGAAAACATTAATAAATCACTAGACAAAAAAGGTTTTTGTACAGTATTAAATGAAAAAGTTTCTGAATTTTCTTCTTTTTTGATTGGTGCTGCAACAATAAGTACAAAAAACATTTCAAATAAACCAAATTTTCAGAAACGGAGAAAAAAGAAAAAGTTGTGGTATGACGACGAGTGTGAAGTTAAATACAGACATGTGAAACAATTGGCTAGGAATTTAAGTAATAATCCTTGGGACAAAAATTTGAGACAAAAAGTTGCTTTTAATAAAAAAGAATTCAATAGATTAACCAGAAAGAAACATAGACTATTTAAAAATAAATTATTGGAAAATATTTTAGAATCTGAAGACAAAAACCCATCAGAATTTTGGAAGTCAGTTAACCAGTTAAAAGAAAAAGTGAGTAACGACCCAAGTTGTAATATATCCCCAAAAGAATGGTTGAATTATTTTAATCAATTAATGAATATAGATCATATAAATAGATATGAAAATGAAGATATACACATATCTTCTCATAAAAATCAAAATATTGAAATTTTAAATTCAGAGGTTACGACTGAGGAGGTACAGAAAGCAGCAAAGAAGTTGAAGTTGGGAAAGGCCAGTGGGCCTGATGGTATATTAAATGAAATGTTAAAAATTACTTGTAATATTAATGCAAAAGTGTTTGTTTGTATTTTCAATGCTATATTAAAATGTGAAATTTATCCTGATTTATGGAGAGAAAATTTCATAAAACCAATCTTCAAAGGAGGTTGTTTTAATGACCCCTCTAATTATAGAGGAATTGCAGTATCTAGTTGTTTTGGAAAATTTTTTACTAAAATATTATCAAACAGGCTAGATGATTTTCTAAAGAAAAATAATATTGTTTGCAGTGAACAAATTGGATTTAAGAAACACTGTAGAACTAGTGATCATATTTTAACCTTAAAATGTCTTATTGATAAGGCCTTCAAGTTATCTAAATCATTGTATGTTTGTTTTATTGATTTTAAGAAGGCGTTTGATACAGTTAACAGAGAAGCATTATTATATAAATTGTCCTGTTATAACCTATCAGGTTGTTTTTTCAATATTTTGAAAAATATGTATGATGAAGTAAAATACTCAATTAAATTTACAGAAGGTGAAACAACGTCGTTTTCATCAAAAGTAGGAGTAAAACAAGGATGTATTTTAAGTCCATCACTTTTTTCATTATATGTTAATGATATTGTCAAAATATTTGACAACTCATGTGACCCCACTATATTAAACAATGTAAATTTATCATGTCTTATGTATGCAGATGATATTGTTTTGATATCAGAATCTGCAAAAGGTCTGCAGAATTGTTTAAGTAAGTTATCAAATTATTGTGACACATGGAATTTATCAGTAAATATAGACAAATCAAAGGTTATTATATTCAATAAATCAGGAAGAGTAATTAAAAAAGACAATTTTAAGTACAATGAATATGCACTAGAAATTACACAAGAATACAAATATCTTGGAGTATTATTTAAACCTTCAGGTAGCTTTACCAAAGCAAATGAATATTTATGTAAAAAAGCTAGAAAAGCATCATTTTGCATTTCCAAAACACTGCATTCAGACAAACTAAATATATTACCAAATCTTAAATTATTTGACTCATGTGTAAAACCTATACTTCTTTACTGTAGTGAAATTTTATGTCTAGATACTTTGTTGAAAAATAATGCTTCCATGGAGTCTAGATATTTTTTATATCAACCTGTAAAAGTACAAATTAAATTTGCTAAATACATCTTAGGAGTTAACAAAACTGCATCAAATTTGGCTGTTCTGGGGGAATTGGGTATGATCCCATGTTCTGTTGATGCTATCAAACTGTGTGTAGGTTACTGGCATCATGTAGTCAATTCAAATCCAGATAGTTTAATAAATATGATTTATTCATCAAGTGTTAATAATAACTCAGACTGGTATAGAACAAAAATTAAATTGTTATTTGAAAAAGTTGGATTTAAACATGTCTGGGAAAATCAAAATTCATTTAGTAAAAATCGTTTAACTTTTGCTATAAATAAAAAACTGAAAAATGATTTCATAAAATTTTGGGAGAATTCCATTTCAAAAAGTGTTAATGATAATAGAGGAAACAAATTAAGAACCTACAAGGATTTGAAGATGAAATTTGATATGGAGAACTTTTTAAAATTAGATATAGACAGAGCTGATATTTCAAACTTTGTAAGAATAAGAATAAGTAATAGTATCCTTATGATTGAAAAAGGCAGACATAAAAAGATTGATTTAGAAAACAGATTATGCCCCCTATGTAAATTTGAAGTTGAAGATGAATTACACTTTACCATAAAATGTACCAAACTCAATGATCTGAGGAATAAATTTTTTCAGAATATTTCTGATATTTTACCATCTTTCAATAATCTTTCAGACATTGAAAAATTCTATTTCATATTTCGAAGTAATGATTATGATGTCAGTAAATGTTGCATTAAAGGTATTAATGAGATGTACACGTTCAGAAGTTCACTAACTTAAGTTATTTTATGTTTATATTATATAAATTGTAATACTAGTATCTAAAACTGTACCTCCCCAGTCAAATAGATAGAAGGGGAAAATAAAAATACTCATTATATATTTATATATACACCTCTTTCTTCTTTTTTTTTTTTATGTTCTGTATTGTTATATAATTGATTGTAATGATTAATGATTGTTCTTTGTGTGTTGATGACAATCCATATTTAGGATTTTATATCAATAAAATCTTTGACTTTGACTTTGACTTTTACTACCCTAGGCTAGTGATACGTAGAGTCTACCACTGCGAGTTTAGTTCCGATAACGATCGAGAATTTAGTATTACTATTGATATTTCCGGTTGGAATGTGACTTTCACAGAAATTTTGACAACATAGTGTGATTTCATGGGAACAGTCCACGCAAAAGTAACAACAGTATTTTCCCTTAACAAACGTTTAGGTTCAGCGGCACTACAAGGGGTCTTTCCGTGACTGATAAACGATTAAAAATAAGGGGAGGGGGGTCACTTACGGTATTCTTACTTTCATAGTCATCAGGTAGATTTGAATTTTTAGTACACATTGGTTTACTTATTAGTATTATATATCATGTTTATCTGATTTGTAGCAGAGCACTGCCAAATCAATGAGGGTTGGAATGCCCTTTACCGTTAGTGACTTAGTCGTAAAACGGTAATTTTCGGCTACCGTTAGCGTCAAATTGGTTAAAATTTTACCGTGATTCATCAAAATATCCTTATCATGATTTGTCAGAGGTCTCAAATAATTATGGTTACCATAATTTTTGGAAAAAATTTAACGTGATTCGTCAAAATCAGTCCATTTTTTTATTGTCTAAAAGAAAGTGTACATTTTATCGTCATGCACCAAAAATTACCGTTAATGTCATTTTGCAAGAATTTTTACCGTTATTAGTCATTAAGGTACCCCCATTACGACCCTCATCAATTGATGATGTAGTGTTTCGTCCATGTGCCTTAAATATCTTAATCTAGGACTGTGCTCATATAGACTTGTCTACAAGTCAGCTATATCAGGGACAGTCTATACTAACGGGACTGGTCACTTATAAGAATGTCTATACAAATTTGCAGACATAACTGTGCTGTCGCTGATGTCACGTGACTTCAAAGCAAATCATTTCACATTTACGAAGTGTTCTTCATAACTATATGTTTAAGTTTAATGAAGTAACATTTTTATGAAATTTTGTACATTTTGTCACTGCAAAATGCTGTTTTTGAAAAGATTTCTCGGATGGTTTTTAAAATATAGACCTTTGAACTTTGAGGTATTTTGTCAGTAAATTTCGAGTGGCCGCCATCTTGTTCAATATGTAACCCCTATTGCACAACTTGAGTGTTCTTCAAAACGATATGTCTCAGTTTAATAATTTAACATTCTTTTAAAATCTTATATTTTTTGTCATGGTAAATAGCTATTAATCAGATTTTATATTAAAAAATATTAAATTACAATGTACTTTGAAATACGCAAATAACTACTAGCTTCGTATATATCAGAGATACGGAACTAAGTTTATTGTTTGGTGGTAGCTTTACACGGGAGGCATAGTTATTTTTAAAATTAAAATCAATAGAGACAAGTCCCGTTAGTATAGAAAGTCCCTGGTTATATTCAAAGTCTATTTGCATTTCAACTAAATGTGTACCACTACTATCCAACCTTAAGAAAGGTACACATAATTTTCAGAAACACACATTGACGATAGTGGGCTACGGATCTGACCTGTAGACAAGTCCAAATGACTGCACTAACCTCCAAAAAAGATCTCGCCAGGAAAATTACTAACATTTATTTTTCAATGTGTCCTCCAAATTCAAGTCTACCTAATGATTATGGCAAACAGGAATGAAATATTCATTCTGAGTTGTACTTCTCTCAAGTGGGAAGTTCTGCTTGGATAAAAATAACAGAGCAAGGTGGCTTCTGATATGTTAAAGTAGAAAAATCTTCAATGAAAATCATGTGAAAAAGTGCTGCTTTCATTTGACCATGCATCGCTGCCCTAAGACTTTAGCTAGAACACTGTTTAAGTATGACGAAGTAAATCAGTGACGTGTACTCTCCTCTCTTTACTCAAATTAAGCCTCATTACTTGCAATAGAGCAGCATGGGAGTGATTTTCTCACTGTTGAGTTCATAAGAATGTTCAATAGAGTACCAGTATAAGTTTATGTACAAAAAAATGTAGATAGATATGATTATATTGATTGATCAAAGTAATTGATAGAGTACCAGTATAAGTTTATGTAGATAGATATGATTATATTGATTGATCAAGTAATTGATAGAGTACCAGTATAAGTTTATGTAGATAGATATGATTATATTGATTGATCAAAGTAATTGATAGAGTACCAGTATAAGTTTATGTAGATAGATATGATTATATTGATTGATCAAAGTAATTGATAGAGTACCAGTATAAGTTTATGTAGATAGATATGATTATATTGATTGATCAAAGAAATTGATAGAGTACCAGTATAAGTTTATGTAGATAGATATGATTATATTGATTGATCAAAGTAAGCTCAATGGTATAATAACTCCAAATAGAAATAAATACATGTATTATATACTTAGTAGTAAATACAGATAAATTGTATGTGTAATACAATCATTGGCAAGCGAGCTGTATCAGCCACCCGTGATGATATCGATATCAGCACGGTTGCAAAGGCTTTATCACACCTTTAATCTAAATGACGTCACGTCATCGATTGCAGTCACTATTGCAAAGGCTTTATCAAACCCCTTCTCTGTATGACGTCATGTCAAACCTATAATCTGTATGACGTCATTTCAAACCTTCTTATCTGTGTGACGCCATGTCACATAAAAAACATCTACATGAGGTATATGTATATAATAAAGTGTATATGATATGGCTTTTTCAATATCACATACCGTATCAACCCTCAACCAATATAATCCCTCGAGCAGAGCTCTTGGGATTATATTGGTGTCTCAGGTTGATACGGATGTGATATTGAAAAAGCCATATGATATTCACTATGTATTATGAGTTGACATATTTTTTTTTTTTAGTTAATATAAAAATAAGGAGATGTGGTATGATAGCCAATGAGACAACTATCCACCAAAGTTCAAAATGGAGTGGATGTAAGCAAGTATAGACAACCATACAGCCTTCTTCAATGAGAAAAATCCATATCGTTTAGTAGGCTATAAAAGGGCTTTAAGGCCCAACACGAAAATTATGAAACAATTGAAAAAACTAACAGCCTAATTTATATCAAAACTATTTACGAAAAACAAATATGACAGACTTGAACCAACAACATAAATTGATGAAGGACACTGACAATTGTGCATAATTGAAATGACTTGAATAAAAACTTCAAACACACCATTGCAAAATATAAACATGTCTTACAACCAATATAAAAAGAATTAAACTTTTTCATCAAAAAATGTTTTTTTTTATAAAGATTGCCAAAAAGGTAACATCTACTTTATATTATAAATATTAGCAACTTGAATAAATGAGAGAATAGAATTAAAGAAACCTGAAAGTGTATATGGTTTGTTGTTTATTGTGAAGAAAAACAGTGGAAATGCTGAATTATATGTATTATTTCTGGCCCCTGAGACCACTGCTTTATATATAAAGTTATTGTGACTGTGTATTGTTTCAGGCCCCTGAAACTACCATGGAATCACACAGACCAGAGTTTGAGGGACCATCAAATGACACAGATCCAAATTTTAAGTTTGACATCAGAACAGTGCCAGTAAGTTTTCTTTGTCAGAATAAGGGTTCATTCATCCTTTTTAGCATTTATGTCAGGGACCTATTTCTAAATTTTAGTACCATTTTGCATATTTGGAAAAATCTTAAAACATATTAAGTTGAAAATGAAAAGATACTGGAATACAATTTAGCTTTGGGTAAAATGTGGCAAGCAGGGTCCAGAGGAGTTTGTCTATTTACTGTAGTTTAGCAGGAGAGAAATAAAATCCGAAAGCAAAAATTGTAGAGAAAAAACAGATAAATATTATAGAAAAATATAAGATATACAAATGTATAAGAAGAAAATTAAAAACGTTTTGTTTTCAGGTAAAGGTTGACAGAGTGGTAATTGATGGAGTAGGGAAAACCAAAAATGATATACTTGAAAAGACACTTAAGCCAGTTCTGTCAGCATCAAACTTCAAAGAGGTAGTGTATCAAACAGCTTGGCCTTTATAATTACCCTTGACTATCTAAATGAGCCTCCTCGTGGGTTTTTGATTATGTGATTACTTGGTCATTTTTATAGTGATTATTTGATTACCAGACCAAATATTTCATGATTATTTGATTATTTGATAATCTAGGAATGTATTTTTTGATTATTTGATTATCTTGTTTAAAAAAATAATTAATGATTATGTGATTATATTGGCAAAAAAATTATGATTATGTGATTACTTGGACACCCCCATGAGGGGCCTCCTATGTTCCAATTTGGTAAGTTTTAAATCAGGCCTGTATGATATTTTTGCTTAAAAAGTCAGTATCAAAACAAAACTACCATTATTCTATAATTATTCATTAATTTTTTTATTTAGTTTAGGGGTATGTATCCTATGAACATAAAATTTTGTTCTCTTAAGTAATGTAATGTCCCAGGCCATATATAGTTAATATATTGACTGTAATCTTCATTGTAGATGGTTGAAAAAAGTACAGAGGCCAAAATATTATTGGAGAAATTGGAATTGTTTAAAAAAGTTGATATTCTAATAGACACAAGTAAAGGTTTGTATTATAACCTTGGATGGAATTAAACTATATATTTATAAAGAACACAGTTTGTTCATATATGTGTTTATTTCTGTGCACAAATTTATATCTTTACATTAAACAATTGTAAAGGTTTTAATTGACATTAGGCTTTTTATTGGTGGATTAAAAGAGAAATTTTTTATTTCCTTTGAACAACATTGCCTTGCAAGCATCCGATGCCTTTTGAACATACACATGTACTTGTACAAATGCTGATGTATAAAAACTATATTTAGCAAAATACGTAGGACAGTTTGCAAAGGTAATAAGTATGTATAGTATTTGGCTCTAAACTCCGTCACAATAGTTTTACTGAGCCATGGTAATGATGGAAGTTGATACCACACTCTTTATACTTTTACAGTATATAAACAACATATAAAAGTTGATATATATTACCAAAACTCAGTATTGATATTTATAGAATAACTAATTCAAGAATTCAAATATAGAGAAATATTCAATGTGTGACCAAACAACACATTAATTTGTGATGATTATCCGTGTTGTTCAATCAAAAGTTGAAAGTTGAATGTATTTTAACATTTGGATTACTTATTCTTTTAATTGCATTGAACTTGGACTTTTTTTATGGAAATAAAGTAGAAAATTCAAGGAACTATATCTTTTTGTAAGCATTCTCAATTTATTTTGATGTAACGTCATAGATAAAATTGAGAATGGAAACAGGGAATGTGTCAAAGAGTCAACAACCCGACCAAAGAGCAGAAAACAGCCCAAGGCCACCAATGGGTCTTCAGTGTGCTTCAGCTTGCCCTTAAACAGAAATGTGTACTAGTTAATAGAAAATGGATGTCACACCAAACTCCGAAACATATAAATGAATCGAAATTAAAAAAACATACAGCTCTAACAATGGCCAGAGGTTCCTGACTTGGGACAGGCGCAAAAATGTGGCGTAGTAAAACATGTATTGTGAGATCTCAGCCCTCCCTCTTTACCTCTAGCCAATGTAGAATAAACAAACACACAGCAATAGGCACAGTAAAACTCAGTTTAAAAGAAGTCTTGAGAACGATGTTAGAATAGGTAACAGAAGAAACTAAGCAAAATGACAATGATAACATAAATTAACAAAAGGAGTACTAGCTGTTACTGACATGCCAGCTCCAGACCTCAGTTAAACTGATTGTAAGGTTATGTCTTCATCATAAGAAAATCAAGCACAATCCCTTCTGTTAGGGGTTTAGTATCATACCATCATAAAATATACGAGAAGAACATAACCCGTATCATGCCAACAGCTGGTTTTAGAATAAATGTGTTTATTTCTGATGCAAAGACCCTATGAGTGAATCAATATTAATTTTTAAAAATGCCATCTTTAATGACCTGACAACAGTATTGTAACTATATCCCTTCTGAATAAGTCTGTTTAAAAGTTTGGTCAGCTTTTGAGGTGAATGACGACATTTTTGTGTTTTGTATAGAATATTACCATAAAAGATTGGATGTGAAATACCTGAACGTTTAAGATGTCTGCACGTTGATCTATATTTACGAATGATGTCCTTGTACCGATGATAAAATTTAGTAAATGTTTTGACAAGTTTGTGATATCGAAAACCCTGGTGTAATAATTTACAGTAATACAGCGATTTCTTTAGTTAAAATCAAATACTTTGTTACATACATGAGCGAATCGAACAATTTGAGATATATAAACACCATAAGATGGTGACAAGGGAACGTCCCCATCCAAAAAGTCTTCACAACACCCATTGTTGATGATGTCAGAGGAGTGAAATTATTTGATTTCATTTTTATACGCCCGTTTACGGGACGTATTATGGTATACCGTTGTCCGTCTGTCCGTCCGTCCGTCCGTCCATCCGTCCGTCCGTCGTCAACATGTCGGACACTAATTCAAAAACGCTTTAACCAATTTGCATAAAACTATGGTGAATTGTTTATATCTATTGACGTGAGCTCCCTTTCGTTTTTTATAAATTTAAAATTTTGCGTTTCTGACTTATGGGGTTTTATTCATTAAAAAAAGGGGGATTTTCCAGTTTTCGGACAATAACTCAAGAATGCTTTCACCAACTTTCAACAAATTGTGGTGAATTGTTTATATCTATTGACATGAGCTCCCTTTGAATTTTTATAAATTTTAGATTTTACGTTTCCGAGTTACAGGGTTTTATTCATAAAAAAGGGGGATTTTTCCAGTTTTCTGACAAAAACTCAAAAATGCTTACAGCAGTTCTTATGAAACTATGGTGAATTGTTTATATCTATTTAAGTAAGCTCCCTTTAGAATTTTATGAATTTTACATTTTACATTTCTGAGTTATGGGGTTTTATTCATTAAAAAAGGGGGGATTTTCCAGTTTTCGGACAATAACTCAAAAATGCTGTCAGCAATTCTCATGAAACTTTGGTGAATTGTTTATATCTATTGATGTAAGCTCCCTTTTGATTTTCATAAATTTCTAATATGACATTGAGAATTAATTGAACTTTATTTGTTTATAGTCTGACAACAGATTTACTAAGTATTGCGCAACAGCACAGTGTATTGCACAACAGCAAGAAATCTTTAATTGAATATAAATTCAATTCATATAACCAATTTCAAGTTCTTTGACTACATTTATTCAGAAACCTGTAATATGTCAAATATTTAATTACAATCCAAATTCAGACCTGTATCAAGCTTGAATATTGTATCCATTTTTGCCCCAACTGTTCAGGGTTGGACCTCTGCGGGCGTATCCAGCTGCGCTCAGCGAAGCAGTTTATATTGAGAAATCATGGTATTTCATCGCTACAAATGCAATTATACTTTATATTGTTTTGATATGTTATAAGTAAATTGTACAAAATCCAGAAACCTAATATAATATTCTATTTTGTCAGGAAAAAAAGCATCGGCCAATGGATATGAAGTGCAATATCACGTAGAGGAAAGGAAATATCCTATTTTAAATGTGAAAATGGAATTAGGAGCACATTCAGCTAATGAAAGTGATGTGGTAAGAAAAAATGTCACTGGCTGTTTTTCTTATAAATTTATTAATTAAAATATGCCCCTTGGAAATATTAATTATATGGAAAATTGAATTGTAAGTGCTCTCAAACCTACATTTCTCTTAGATATTTAAAAAAGTTTTAAAGAACAACAAAATTTTTTTTTTTTAGTTAGTGCCCTTGGACAGATAAAATATGTTGGGTATACATTGATGAGACAGCAACCCAATAACACAAATAACCTAAAGACATTTAAAGGTCAATATACTGTCTTCAACACTAGACAAGTATCTATACAATATGTCAATCTCTAAATTGCACCCAATCTAAAAAGTAGTGAAGAACTTAAACAGAGACTATCAAATATCTGCTATGAACACCAAATTCTTCAAAAAATAAAACATTAAGATATGGCATAAGGCAGCTACTGAAAGAAACATGGAATTGTGGAAGGAGTAAATTATCTTTTTTTTTTAAACCTAAGTTTTCTTTTTGAATGTACAGATATTTACAAGCATTAAATCAACCAGAATACATTCACAGTTTATTTCAGTGAATCTATTAATAGACATGCATAAATGTTTAGGCTACACAAATTGTATTTGTAGTTTATGTTGTTTTATTGATACAAGTAGAGATGTGAGCAAGAGAAATGTTTATCAGGAACAAAAAATAATTGGAAAAACAATCATAATATAAGTATATTTTATATGAGTAGGCAATAACATGAATTTCATTTATAATTAAGTGTAAAAAGTAGGAATGAAATGTGATTTTTTGATTGATGGATGCATTAAATTTTCAATTTATTTTCTTCCAAAAGTTTGTGCAAAAAACCTCAACATAGATTTGATCTGTTCTTATAAATTATTAAAAGATACATATCTCTACAGGTGGTAAGAATGAAATATACCAATATGTTTGGTCGTGGTGAATCATGTACTCTGGATTACAGCAGAGTTTTCAAAGATGATGGAGGATATGGTTTTCAGTTTTCAAAACCCATCAATGGGGATCCTAATATAAGGTAAATATTTTAATTTGTCAAGATAGGAACTAAAATAAAATTTACACTATATAATAGAAAAACAAAGGATATGGGATATCCATCCATGACACAAAATCAGTACATGCACAGCAAAAACACATAAAACAAAGAAACTTTTATTGCTGTTCTTCATGTTAAAGTCACAGTGAGGCCTTCAACACGGAGCCCAAACACTACACACACTCACGATTTGTTGGCTTGAAATCCCAAATAGAAACATGTTACTGTGGATTCATTTATTTTCGTTGGTATCAATTTTCATGGATTGAGGAAAAGTTACATTTTCGTGAATTTTTAATTTCAGGGTTTTGCCAAAGTCTGCATACAAGCATATAAAAAATGTGTAATTCATTGAACATTTAAATTTGTGATTCACCTGTGTACCCATGAAATTCACAAAAAAAATTATCCTACGAATAATTATGAATTCACAGTACATGAGTTGTTGACATTTGATAAAATCCTCTAGTTATGGAATTACTTTCTTTTTTTTCTCTAGACACAAAAGTTTTTGTTTTCAACTTTTGTTTACAATTTGTTTCTCTTTTTATGTAAAGTTGAAGTGCAATGAAATCAAATCATGTTGAAATGTTTTGTAGAAGGTACCTTCCAATCTTGTGACTGTTTCTGATAATAAGTCCAATATGGCTTGAAGGAGCCAAAATTTGAATTGGTCTGATATATAGAGACCTTCTTTTTAAGAACTATTTAACTAATTGAAACATACATATCAGATATTTTCCTATGAAAGTTCTGAAAAAGTGTAAGATGCTCATTGGAAAATCAAATACCACTCCATTGAAACCCTATGGGAAAATACATTTTACTTATCATCATGATCATTTGAACAAATTGAAAAAAAATTGACTGGGATGTTCTATTTAAGGTCTGTAACGTGTGTTATTACTTTCATAAATTCAAAAGGCAGCCAGCAGTAGTCAAAGTTTATATCTTATTAAAAGCAAATAATATAAAAATGTAGAAATCAGAGTCCAAATTCTAATACTTGTATTACTTGTTATTCTTTATTGATTTTAGAATTGGTGCTAATATATATAAAGGCTATGCAGAATTTCCATGGAGTAGTTTTAAAGAAATCAGTAGAGGAACTGCCTTACATTTAATGGTAAATTAATCTGCATTGATTCTATATGTCATATAAAAAATATATTAACATACATCAGATGATTAGTGTAAAAAAAATTATTTTGGTAAATGTTGCATCGAGTATGTTTGTACAGAAAAGAAAATATTAGTTTACACAAGGTCGTTGAAGGTCAACAAACAAATTCACAACACCTTATCAATTTGTCAGTTATGATCTACAGGTATGTGTATTTACGAAAATACAGTTCAAAAACAAACAGCATTCTTCATCTTTTATTGTAAATAACTCACAAAAAATATCACAATATGATATATGTTTGAATTAGAAAAAAAACAAAGTAAATAACAACACAAGGTTAGAAGGAAATACAAAAGACAGATGTTACCTGTGGTCCTCGTCAGTGAACCTTCCCTAAACCTTATATTAAGTTCTAAATCATACAAGTTGTAGATGAATATATCAGACATGGCTACAATTAAAAGAAAAATTATGTTTTTATAATTTATATTACAGTTTCCAACTAAATTAGGTTCACATTGTTTAAAGTGGGAAGGAGTTTGGAGAGAAATGAGAGCTCTCAACAGAGACACATCATTTGCTGTCAGGGAGCAAGCAGGGCATACATTAAAGTCTAGTATACAGGTATTTTTGTTTATGTTGTAAAAGTTATTATTTTGATTGGTATCATGAGGACCAATACTGACAGATGACTCCTTATAGGAGTTTTAGCCCTAAAATGATGAGTTTTGCCTATTTTTTGTAATTTTGGTTATCATATTTAAACCTATAACAGATAATGAGAAATTGTAAATGGCAAACATGATCAGCAGGACAAGATCTTGCTAGGAAATGGAGCAAGATGTGATATGGTTGGATTAAATGGAACTGCATTTAATAGGTCATGGACTTTTGCTATTAAGTTGCATTAGCATTGATACATCTTGATATACAGCAATATTCTGTAAGCAGTTGCAGAAGCATTTGGATGAATATGATCCAGCCATATTCCAGAGCTTCCAACACATATTTGACAGACAAATTCATTTCTTTCACTAAATTCAGGATATAGTAACCTGGACCAGACTTGCAGAATATTCATATGATTAAGAAAATATTGAGATTTAAAAGATCTTTTTTTGCCCAGACAGTTTTCCTTAATGCAGTCACACTTTTCCCGTCATAAAAATGACACAAAAGAGTAATAACTGTAAAAACAAGCTCTTCTTGAATACCCTGTCTTAAAAACAGTTATTAGCAAGAGTTATTGTCAGCTGTGATTTACCTGCACAACAGGTAAACAAGTAACAGACATCAATTTTCCATTTTGAAGTTGTCTTTCATGTTTGACTGGTTTGCAACTAAAATATTTAGCAATAATTGACGGACTGGCTGAAATTGTTTTTTGGAAGTTCTGCCTCATTCCCCCAGTAGATGTCCATTGGTATAGAAATTGTTTGCATAATCAACATGAATCAATAAGAGATGACTATGTAATTATTTTTGTTTCAGCATGTATTAATGAGAGATAAAAGAGATGATAAGATATTACCCACCAAAGGATATTTAGTCAAGTTAACACAGGTAAGGATATTTTTTATTAAATGTGAAAAAATGTTTCTCTTAATATAGTAGTTTTCCCTACATAGGTAGGTATTCCTATGGGCAACAATTGTGCCCCTTTGGATACTTTTTCATCTTTTTATATGAATCACAATTAATGGCCAAACTCAGTACGGATCAGTCTCAATTCCATTTAAAAGAAAATTGAATTACACTCACCTTTAACATGATGATAGTTGTGCTTTATATATTCAAGAGTTCTCTAATTATACTACAGAAATCGACCCCAGGAAACTGACTTTAAATAAGTCTAATATGAATAGCAGTGGTTGCCCTTTTTAGCTCACCTGGCCTAAAAGGCCAAGTGAGCTTTTCTCATCATTTGGCGTCCGTCATCCGTCGTCGTCGTTAACTTTTACAAAAATCTTCTCCTCTGAAACTACTTGGCCACAATCATCATTGGGTATCTAGTTTAAAAAATGTGTCTGATGACCCGGCCCACCAACCAAGATGGCAGCCATGGCTAAAAATAGAACATAGGGGTAAAATGTAGATTTTGGCGTATATCTCTGAAACCAAAGCATTAAGAGTAAATCTGACTTGGGGGTAAAATTGTTCACCAGGTCAAGATCTATCTGCATATAAATTTTCAGACAAATCAGACAACCCGTTGTTGGGTTGCTGCCCCTGAATTGGTGATTTTAAGAAAATTTGCAGTTTTTGGTTATTATCTTACATATTATTATAAATAGAGATAAACTGTAAACAGCAATAATGTACAGCAAAGTAAGATCTACAAATAAGTCAACATGACCAAAATGGTCAATTGACCCCTAAAGGAGTTATTGCCCTTTATAGTCAATTTTTAACAATTTTTTGGAAATTTTTGTTATCTTTTACAAAAATCTTCTCCTCTGAAACTGCTGAGACAAAATTAACCAAACTTGGCCACAATCATCGTTAGGGTATGTAGTTTAAAAAATGTGTCCGCAGACTCTGCGTACCAACCAACATGGCCGCCATGGCTAAAAATAGAACATCAGGGTAAAATGCAAGTTTTGTCTATTATTTTTTGAACCGTTATAATTAGAGAAAATCTTAAAGGAGCAAAAATGTTCAGAATAATGAGCTCTACCAATTGTCCATATATGTCAAAACTGTATGGCAAATTCTTTTAGGTGTTATTGCCTATAAATGACAAATTTTACCATTTTTTTTCATTTTTGCCTATTATCATGAAAACTATGATATTTAGAGAGAAACATTTTTTTTCCTTTATGTCTTGATTTAAATTATAATAGATAAACACTTTAAATCACAAAAATGATCAGCAAGGCAAGATCTATTAAAAAGTCAAATTTTGCCTATATAGTTAGTAGACTGTCACTCTTCATAGGAGTGATTGCCCTTAAATGAGGATTTTTTTTACCCTCTTTTATGTTTTGAGCAAAAACTAAAGAAGATAGAGAGAAACTAAACAGACTAAAAGATCAGTAACAAGGGTCCGGAAACGGTCATATATGCCAGACATGACCGATTTGGAAACTGAAAAGACCGAAATGATTTATTGGGATTTAGGTCTTTTTTTTTTTTTTTACAGAAATAATTTCGGTCATTTCATTGAGATCAGGGTTTTATCGGTCGCCATTTTGAACTTATTTTTGTTTTCAGGTCATCAAGAAAAATAGATTTGTTTTAGACAAAATAAAAATTTTATTGAATTGTGGTAGTGATTTAATAATATTTATCATTAGTCTGTTGTTTATTCTATAATGTAAGTGAAAACAATGTACAGGACTCTGTCGAGTCACAGCGTGGGGTAAGTCTGGGTTCAAGCCACTAGGTTTGTTTACATAGTAATTATCACCACTTGAGGATAGTAATCAATGTCCAGGAAGTTTGAATTCGGCTTGGGTGTCGTTATTGTCTTGATTAAAGCCATAAAGGCCATGTACACAAATCTCACCTGTAAACACCTGTTAAGCAATAAAAACAATATGGCGATTTGCTGTGCATCAAATTTAACGTTTTAACCATTCTGACCTAGATTTTCCCAAAAAGATATTATTTTATTCATTAAAGAAGTCAAATAACACTGTTGACTCGAGAATCTGTCCATTTTTATCCAAATAAAACATATAATCCATTTATAATCGATCAGCTGATTTGGTCAACGTTTGTTAAATATAGATTTATGTTTACTGAGTTTGCGCATGGAAAATGGGGATCAACATGGGTTAATTGATGATCTTATTTGAAAGATCGATTTTACTGTTAACTTTTCGGTAGGAAATGGCAGATAAAGATATTAATAGATTTACAAAAGTGGTAAAGCGTATAATTTATAGGAATGCAGAATTAAAAAAAAATGTTTAAAAAAGGAATTAAAACTAAATAACGTAATTTAGATTTGAAGCCATACAGCCTATTTAAGAAATATACTCAGCGAATGAACAATCTCGATTTCTTTTTGTTTTTTTTGCACTTCCGATTTTTTGAAACCATCTTACTCACAGAATTTAATGGGCGTTATCCTTTCTTTTGTTTTCCTGGCTAAACTTCCGTTTTTTACCCAAGTGAAGCCATACATTCTCTCTGGACTGTATTACAATGCAATTGTTTTTCATTGAACTGTTGTAATTGTGTACAAACTTCTGTTCAGATAAATTATTTATTTATTTAAAATCATGAATTTTATTATTAAAATCAATTGTTATCACTATACCAGACTTGAGTTATTTATTCAAAGAAAAGTTGAATCATAGTTTCCCCTTTTTGATCCTCTTATCGTAAACCAGGTGAATACACATTATCTTGTTGTGTATTAGGTAATCACTTACACTCATCCAAACAGCAGCAATTTGAACAATACAAACGATATCTTGTACATGCAATAAGAAACTCAACACAGTTTATTAATTGGTTTACATAACTTTATTTCAAAATGATGAAACATGCCGTAATTATTCCTCTTTTAATTTATGCAAATTTAAAGGGTTATGCATACGACCTCAGTGATGCAATACACAACAACAAAACGTCTCCTCGTGTAGTTTCTAACTCAGAGACATCACTGTTACTGTTAGATCAGGGTACAGTTACACTTGTTTGACCCAATACTTCACAAAAAAGGACTTTACTTGTCCATGTGCAAGACTTGTCACCCTCAGAAAAATGCATTATTGTGCATCACGATATTATTACATCACAAAAAAAAATGACCGAAATGACTTGGGAAAATTTCCGGATCCTTGATCAGTAATACAAGATCAACAAAATAGAGATTTTTGTCATGAAGTCTATTCTTGTCTACAATGTTGGAGCGTGTCCTTTGTTTAATATGCACATAGATCAAGGTGAGCGACACAGGCTATTTAGAGCCTCTAGTTCTTGATTGGGATATTTCAGTATCACACAGCAAGCTTTATACTATAATGTATGACATAGTTTCAGCTAGCACAAAAACACAAACTTTTGAAGTTTTTAAGTATTCTGTTGAAGAATAAAACTATGATACTTGGTAAAACCTTGCATTCATTGACTTCATACACATAATTTTCTTTAATTAAAATTGTACTGCTCTTGTAAGGGCACTACTTTCATGGATCAGGTATCATAAAAATACGAAATTGCATTTCTAACTGATGATTCATGGACAATATATTTGAACAGTACCTAGTTTCAATGCCTAACTGATGTAATGCCAACAGTATAATGTTAGAAAAATATAGTCTGTATAAAAGGTTGAACAAGGTGATTTAATAAAAAAAAATCATTTTATTCTGGTTATGTGATTTAGTATACATTTTCTCAATTTCAGGAGTATGCTGGTCTTGGTGGAAATGTAGAATTTGTCAAGAACGATGTTGAACTTCAGTATAATTTACCTTTAGTGTTCGATTCAGTAAGTTTGTATGTGTTTTCATCTCCTTTAAGTAGGAATATACACATTCTATGTACAGAACTTAACTTTTTGGCCTTTGTTTTATCCAATGATCAGATTTTGACTACTTTTTATTACTTTGTATAAGTATAGATCTTTTTCATAAGTTTAAAAGATTTTTTGAAAAGACTAAGATTACTACTGAATGGATGTTATTCTCTTCATTCAGATAGCAGTAATTTACTGCAGTATAATGTCAATAATACATAACCATAACTATGCATTGCAGGAAACCAATGCTACTCCCCTTTTGACTTAGAGACACATATATGAATAATTTATGTTAAATTGAATATTTACTCATAACATGAATCATTGTTAAGGACTAGTCCATTAAAATGAAGGTGGGAGGGTAGAAATTGATGTTTTAATTTAAGACATGGGTCGTAGGTCATTTATGGTTGTTTGTCCTTTGATGTATACAAAATTATTCGAAGAAAAAATGTGGACTGTTCAGGGAATTTGAAATACCTTTCCTACCCTCCCACATCCATTTTAATGGAATAATCCATAGTGCTTCAGATATTTTTTATAGTATAAGTACCATCACACATTCTACATGGAAAAACCCTCTTATTTGTTTTTCTTATAATTGCATAAATTACAAAATCACATTCATCTTCTTTATTGACAATCTTTCATTTCCATGACAATCAATATATTAAAAAGAAATTATCTTTTCATTTATTTTCACATATGAACCTTATAATACCATACCATACTTCCTTCAGAATTCAATAAACAGAAAGCAGAGTTACAAGGTTTTAAGATTTATTCATGAAGATATTTTTCTAATGCAGATAATACAGTTATCACTAGCTGGTGGAATTTTAACAAAAATAGATCAAAACAGAGACATCAAAATTAACGATAGGTACTTTCTTGGAGGGCCACTGACACTGAGAGGCTTCACAGTAAATGGTGTTGGTCCACATTCTGATGGTAGGTTTTTTATATTATTTGAATGTTAGTTACTTTATAATCCTTACTTTTTATTTCTGATTGATTACTAGTTGTTTTACATTAAGTGACCAGTAAAAAACTTCATGATATTATGCATAAAGGTTTTACCACTGCATCAATTGAGATACTATATTTCTCCTCTCTAAACAACTAAATTTTCCAATTTAAAACATGAGGCTTGCCAAGCATTCTAAATATTTTAAATTTAAGAGTTGAGAGTAAAGAAATGTGCACAAAATGCAGCGGTGGAATCTGTTTCTCTAATGATTTTCTGACAATATGTAGGCAAACTTTATCTTTATTTTTCAATGATTTGCAAATGGATGTGTTCTTTCTATGTGACTTCATTAGGCACTCTCAAGTTTTTCATAATGATACAATAGCAAAATCAGAGAATAGCAATAATATGTATGTTATGATTGAATTTCCACCCATGAGAAACTGAAATCAAACAAACAACAACAAAAAATTAATCAACCATTCAGGGGAAGTATAATTTGGTTAAGAACTACAGAAATAATATTGTTCTGTGACAAAAAAAAAACTTGCCGGAGATAAAAGTTAGATATGATTTCAAAATTGCTTTTCTTAAAAGCAAACAGTGCTGTTGCTTTGGTTTCAAGGTTGGCAAAAAAGCGGTCAATACTAGTATTGACCATGCCGGCGGTAAATACCGGGAAATACTGGCAAATACTGGTCAATACTGGCAAATACTGGTCAATTGAAATTTTGATAGGACTCTACTATAAAACTTGTCCCTACCTCAGGTCAATTACTTGGTAAATGGATAGATATAGTCACAAGGCAGAGAGTCACTTATTTACTACATTGTACTACAATGTAGAACAAAAAGTCACAACTAATTAGTTCATGAACATGGTTTAATGAACATTTATCAAATATTAATTTAATCATACAACAGATATAGTCATTAACACCATGAAGTCAGTCACTTTAAAGAGACTATTTAACATCTATATATATGTTATATATTTATTTAAAAAAAAACATTTCCTGCATTTAGAAGGTTTTTATCATGCATTTGAAAAGTCAGGAAAATTAATTCATTGTTTAAAACAATCTTCAGAAATAACTTTTATGACTTTTTTCCTGTTATGTCAACATTTATTAGGGGACAGTTGTTATAGTAATTAAACTTTTGACACCTGTTAGCCATACAATATGTAATGCTCTGATAATCTATATTGCTAGTAACTTGTAATTCCATTTACCTGTAAAATTCAAACCTTTTCAAGAAAAAAAATATCTTGATTTCTACATGTTAAAATAACTGATATTTAGAGCTGCTCAATTTTATAATATACCAACAGTATGCAATATCATTACCCCTAAGAACTAAATTAGTCATTTTTAATGTTTTAATAATCAATAACATACCAATATCATTCATTTTTATAAACTGAATCATGCCAAAGGAATAAAGTTTTCCCTCATCAACCATTTTTTTACTAGAATTGATAGATAAGTCAGTCAAAAGAAGCATGAAAATTTCAATTGACCAGTATTTGCCAGTATTGACCACTTGGGGAGTATTGTCCAGGGCGGTAAATGCCGGTTAATACCACTGGTAAATACCGGGGGTGGTCAATACCGCCCAACCTTGTTTGGTTTTGTATTAAACTTAGAGAAAAAATGCACCAGGCCTTGGACCTGGTACTTTAAACAAATCTTGAAGAACTGAAATAAATTTTAAAAAAGGCGAAGCCATACTTGATGAGGAAACTGATTCTTAGTTTCAATAAAGATTACGAAGTTTACAATTTTTTCACTGCTAAATTCTATTCTATACTACTAAAATGTTTTTCATAAAAGAGGAACAAGAAGAAAAATACAATAAAAATAATAGAAAATAGAAAAAATAAAAATTGTTTGTTTTTTGTTTTTTTTTTGTCATGACATCACTTTGTCTTTGACTTATGATTTTGAATATCAGTTGGTATCTTGTGCCTCTCTTTTGATAGACTTTTACATAAACTTTGACATAATATTATATAATGGTGGTCTGGGTTTTTCAGACTGACAATCAAAGTAAATCCTTAACAATTATAAGAATGAAATGGTGGTTGCTGAATATCTGTACTTTTTATTTTTAGCAGTCAATGCCTTGGTATTCAAACTGAGAACAAGCTATATTATTTTCTCCTAAATAATTTCTATATTTCAGGTAATGCCTTAAGAGCTGATGCCTTAGGAGCTGATGCCTACTGGTTGAGTGGTCTACATCTATATACTCCTTTACCATTTAGACCAGGAAAAGGAGGGTTTGGAGAAATGTTTAGATCTCACTTTTTTGTTACAGCAGGAAACTTGGGGAATGTAAATCTAAGTAAGTTAAAATGTTCAAAACATATAGTTATTGATCAGTTTTAAAAGCACAGCATGGAATAGAATAAGAGCATATACATAGCCCTTTAAAATGATGAATATAACAACCCTCCACCAGAAACCAAATTATATAGATGTAAGCAACTATCAATCACTGTTCTGCCTTCAACAATGAGCAAAAGCCATAGTATATAGTAAGCTATAAAAGGCCCTGAAATGATCAAGTGTAAAATAATTAAATGGCCTTACTCATGTACAAAACAATTAACAATAAAATGCTCTGCTGGGTGCAGCTTGATACAACCACAGAGGTCGAACCCTGAACAGTTGGGGCAAGTATGGACACAACATTCAAGCTTGATACAGCTCTGAATTGGGATTGTGATTAAATATTTGACACAGCATAGGTTTCTGACACAGAATGAATGTGGTCTTAGAACTTAAAAATTTTTGATTTATCTATTATGGTCCAATATCCCAAATCTAAATACATAGTTAGATTCAGCATATCAAAGGATCCAAAGAATTAAATTTTTGATGAAATCAAACAAAGTTTAATTTTGGACCCTTTTGACCTCAATGTGGACCAATTTGATAACAGGGCCCAAAATTCAAAATACATGGTTAGATTCAGCATATCAAAGAACCCCATATATTCAATTTTTGTTGAAATCAAACAAAGTTTAATTTTGGACCCTAACTTGGACCAACTTGAAAACTGGGCCCATCATCAAAAATCTAAACACATGTTGAGATTCAGCATATCAAAGAACCGCAAAAATTCAATTTTTGTTAAAATCAAACTAAAGTTTAATTTTGGACCCTTTGGACCTTAATGTAGACCAATTTAAAAAAGGGACCCAAAATTAAAAATCTAAATACAATTAGATTTGGCATATCAAAGAACCCCAATAATTCAATTTTTGATGAAATCAAACAAAGTTTAATTTTGGACACTTTTGACCTCAATATGAACCAATTTGATAGCGGGGCCCACAAATAAAAAATCTAAATACATGGTAAGATTCAGCATATCAAAGAACCCCATATATTCAATTTTTGTTGAAATCAAACAAAGTTTAATTTTGGACCCCAATTTGGACCAACTTGAAAACTGGGCCTAAAATCAAAAATCTAAATACATGTTTAGATTCAGCATATCAAAGATCCCCATATATTCAATTTTTGTTAAAATCAAACTAAGTTTAATTTTGGACCCTTTGGATCTTAATGTAGACCAATTTGAAAACTGGATCCAAAATTAAAAATCTAAATACACAGTTAGATTCGGCATGACAAATAAATAAATGTGGTCAAAGATTTTACAAATCTAATGCGCCATACTGTGCACTTAAAGATTACTTCTTGAAATTTTTCAATATTTGAAATTTGAAAAAAAAATAATATTTGAAGAATAATTCTTTTTAATTTCTGAAATCTGAAATGAGAAAAAATTGACCCCCCTACAATTTCTTTTTATCCCCCCCCCCCTTTTTCCCCAAAAAAATTCTTTCCCTCAAGATATGGTCATAATCTCAATTCAAATTTCCAATGGAGTTTGCAACCATAATTACCCATTTAAATTTACCATAGTGCTAACTTAATCTACTTTATAATATAATTTAAAATATGGTGTCAAATCTTTCATATGGATTTTTTTGTAAAAAAAAGATGCAACATTTGCAGATATTTTTACTTGTCTTCCTTTATAAATATGCATTTCTTTAAACATAATTTAAAAGCAGTGTAAGGGAAGTAATCAAAATGTTGTATTTGGATTACCTCCCTTACACTGTTTTAAATTGTCTTAATTGTTCATTAACCATTACTTTATACATAATTTAAAAGCAGTGTAAGGGAGGTAATTCAAATGATGTATTTGATTTATCTCCCTTACACTGCTTTAAATTATGTTTTGTACTATAGTATTTGTCCATTAACCAGGACAACCTTGTTTTTCCCCCTTTTTTGCCCCTAATTCCTAAACGGTTTGAGCCATAACCCCCCAAAGCAAATCCTAACCATCCCTTTGTGGTATGGAAACTTGTGGTATAATTTCAGAGAGATCCATACACCGCTCCACAAGTTATTGTCTGGAAACTAGAAATGCTTTTTTTTGGCCCCTTTTTGGCCCATAATTCCTTAACTGTTAGCACCATAACCCCCAAAATCAATCCCAACCTTCCTTTTTGTGGTATTTAACCTTATGGTAAAATTTCATAGAGATCCATTCACTTAATCTAAAGTTACAGTGCGAAAACCAATGTGTCTTCGGACGACGCCGAAGCCAACGCCATACCAATATACGACAAGGTCTATGTTTTCCAGATACATGTAATCAGATACTTATCTCTAAGAATGTCAACATATGATTCTGTTATTTGTTCATTCACATATACAGGCCAGAAATTTCAGCAATTTCAGTTGTGGAAATATATTTTGAAAATACTTATGTAGATGTGTAATAAATTACTGCATTTATACATTTGTTTTCTGTTACACCTTAAAACCACATGAAGAAAATCAATTAAAAAAACAGGAATTATCTCGAAATTGTGGAATTCTTTAGCACTTATATCCAAGGATTGATATTTTTGGTGGCTAGTATATATCAGTACAATTTATACAATATTTTCAGATAATAAAGATTAAGTTAAAGTATTAATTATGCCCCTGCCGTAGCGGATAGGGCATTAAGTTTTGTCCTTGTCCGTCCGTATGTACGTCCCAAAGTTGGTTTCCGTTCTCTTCCTTTAGTTTGCCTCAACCAAATGTTATGAAACTTATACACAATGCTTGTTACCACAAAACCCTGATCAAGTTTGAATTTTGGTGGCGTCACTTTAACCGTTCTAGAGTAATGCCCCTTTACAAATGGAAAAATTGCTGAATTTTTTGTTTCCGTTCTCTAACTTTAGTTTGCCTTAACCAAATGTTATGAAACTTATACACAATGCTTGTTACCACAAAACACAGATCAAGTTCGAATTTTGGTGGTGTCACTTTTATTGTTGTAGAGTTATGCCCCTTTACAAATGGAAAAATTACAGAATTTTTTGTTTCCGTTCTCTAACTTTAGTTTGCCTTAAACAAATGTTATGAAACTTATACACAACACTTGTTACCACAAATTACAGATCAAGTTTGAATTTTGGTAGTGTCACTTTAAACGTTCTAGAGTTATGTCCCTTTACAAATGGAATAAAATGCTTCGCTGAGCGCAGCCTGATACGACTGCAGTGGTCGAACCCTGAACAGTTGGGGCAAATTTGGACACAAAATTCAAGCTTGATACTATCTGAATTTGGATTGTGATCAAATTTTTGACATTATATAGGTTTCTGACACAAAATAAATGTGGTCAAAGATCTTACAAATCTAATGCGCAATACTGTGCAATTGAAGATTTCTTCTTGAAACTTTTCAAAAATTTGAAATTTTGAAAATTTTGAAAAAAAAAATATGAACCCTTTTAAAAAAAAATGGAAACCCCCCTTCCCCACAAACATTTTGAATCCCCCTTTTAGAATTAACCATCAAACTCAATTGCAGTCTTTCCTTTGTAGTATGGAACCTTGTACAATTTTAGAGAGATCCATACACTTAATCACAAGTTACTGTCTGGAAACTAGAAAAATGCTTTTTTTTTAACCATAAAAGCCCATTTAAATACATCATAAAAGTATTAAAGTAGAAAATAACATCATAGTCATGGCTAAAATTAAAAAACCTTCATCAGCAACTTTTAATAGTAATATCTAAAAATAAAACTCCTTCATCAGCATTTAAAAGTAACTTCTAAAAATAAATTGACAGCTAGGACTTTGCAACAATAAAAACCCATTTCAATACATCATTAAAGTATTAAAATAGAAAAGGACATCATAATCATGCCTAAAATTAAAACACTTTCATCAGCAACATTAAATAGTAATATCTAAAAATAAAATTCCTTCACATACATAATCATGGCTAAAATTAAATAATTTTTAAAATAGAAAATGACATCATAATCATGCCTAAAATTAATAAGCCTCCATCAGTAACATTAAATAGTAATATCTGAAAATAAAATTCCTTCACATACATAATCATGGCTATAATTAAATTACCTTTATTAAACATTTTTAAAATAGTAACTTCTTAAAATAAATTGACAGCTAATCACCTAAAGACAATAAATTTCTTTATAAATAATTTACAAGGAGTGTAAGGGAGGTAATTTGACAATATGTGTTTGAATTACCTCCCTTACACTGCTTTAAAATTATGTTTTGTACTTAAGTAATTGTCCATTAACCTGGAAACCCTTGTTTTTCCCCTAATTCCTTAACAGTTTGAGCCATAACCCCCCAAAGAAAATTCTTACCATCCCTTTATGATATGGTAACTTGTGGTATAATTTCAGAGAGATCCATACACCATTTCACAAGTTATTGTCTGGAAACTAGAAAAATGCTTATTTGGGTTCCATTTTGTCCCCTAATTCCTGAACTGTTAGGACCATATCCCCCAAAATCAATCCCAACCTTCCTTTTGTGGTCATAAACCTTATGGTAAAATTTCATAGAAATTCATACACTTAAACAAAAGTTATTGTCCGGAAACCAATGTGTCTTCAGACGACGACGACGTGATACCAATATACGACCACAAAATATATATAAAAATTACTGATTTTTTTGTTTCCGTTCTCTAACTGTAGTTTGCCTTAACCAAATGTTATGAAACTTATACCAAATACTTATTACCACAAAATACAGATCAAGTTCGAATTTTGTTGGTGTCTCTTTAATCGTTCTAAAGTTATGCCTCTTTACAAATGGAAAAATTGCTGAATTTTTCGTTTCCGCTCTCTAACTTTAGTTTAGTTTGCCTCAACCAAATGTTATGAAACTTATACACAATACTTATTACCACAAAAATCAGATCAAGTACAAATTTGGATAGCGTCACTTTTACCGTTCTTCAGTTATGTCTGTTTATAACTTTATATGATATGCAAGCGGGGGCATCATCTGTGTCCCATGGACACATTCCCTATTTATTATTTTATTGTATGAAATCATTGGTAGGCTATTTAAGTTTATTTATGTTTTTGAATTTTCAGCTGAAACTGCCAAAGAAAATTTTAAAAATCTCACAGAAACATTTCGTTTATCATATGGACTTGGTGTTGTGTTGCGATTAGGTGGTATAGCTAGGTTAGAAATAAATTATGTGATACCAGTGCGATATCAACATGGAGATAAGTACGTATATAACTTCTTAATTTTTACTCTTTTTCAATGTTATAATAATTTACTCAGTTCTACTTGAATAGGTGCAAAAAGAGGCCAGTTTGATCCTCAAACATTGCTGAAATTAAAAAACGAAGTGGACAACAATTGGATAGCTTTCTGTTTTCATTGTTATATCTATATGAACAAAGAAAGGAAATGTAGGTTGTATGACAATGAGACAGCAACCCCAAAACTATTTAAGCCTATAAACAGTATACCAATATATATAATAGTTAATACATCCTTTTCAATGAAAACAGCATAAAATTAAGCATGTACAAACGTAATAATATTATTATTTTTTCTTTTTCAGTGTTGACAAAGGTTTCCAGTATGGAATTGGAATTTCATTTTTATAATGGATTTAAAAAAAAAGTGCTTATGAAATAAGTCTTATATATCATGTTAAATCTCATTTTTAAACATTTGTTACATTCACTTTGTTTTGTGTTTTCACTTGGCAAGGTGTCATGTCATGTTTTAAATCTGGTGTTAACTTATCCAAAATGTCAATTGAAACAAATGAACTGCCTTGGTGGTCACATGGTAGTGTGTTGGCCATGAGTGTGGGTCTGCTAATGTGGGATGTCTTGGGTTAGATCCCTAGCTAGGTCAAAGCAAAGACTCGAAGATTGGTACTTGCTGATTCTCCACTAAGCATGCAGCATTTAGGAGTTAGAGCAAAGACTAGTCAGGTTAATGTGTCTGGGTAGGGTAATATGTCTTCCTCCAGACTGTCACTAGCATATTGAAAATCTGGCTCAGGGTGTTGATGTAGTACAAAGCAGGGTCACATTAAAGTGTTCTCATTTGATGTTTTCGATGTTAAACAGGAATTCATCATCATTAGAAAAAAATAATAAGATCAATGATATTTTTTCACTATAATTGTCTTCCATGGTACAGCATTAGAAGCTTAAATGGCTTGCCCTACATTTCAAGCTTGAGCGAATTAATTAATATTTGTTAGGTTATTTGTTAAGAATTCATTATGATATATTGGTGATAATTCAGTATGACCAGTACTTTTCTTTATTTAGTACAATGCACTTTTACATGGATGTAATATTTTTGTCACTTTTATCTACATCTGAGTTTTGCACATAAGTTCCTTTCTTAGTAATCTGATCATAACATCAACCTTTTCATACATTAAAATGTAGTGTAAATATCTTGTAGGTTGATATGACTGATATTTGAAGACAAAGTTTTACACCTCTGACTATGAGTGTTCATGTAAACAACATGGTTCACCTTGCAGTCATTACATTCACCAAATATAGTTAACCTATTGCTTTATGTATCTGATAAACTGAAACAAGTGTACACATGCTGAAATATCTTTCCTGCTTAACTGACCATTGATTTTATGTTGATAATCCTAAATATAAAGTTTTATTACAAGTATCACATAAACTTAACACGATCCAAAAAAATGAGGTCAAGGTCACATAAACCAAACAAGAAATACATGTAAAGCTTAAATCATTCCACACAACAAAATATAGTTGACCTATATAGGTTCTTAGAAGCAATCTAAACCATGAAAATGAGGTCAAGGTCAGATGAACCCTGCCAGACACACATATACACCTTTGCAATCATTCCATGCATCAAATATGGTTGACCTATTGCTTATATTATCTAAGAAACAAATTTAACCAGGAAAACTTAACATTGACCAATGAACCATAAAAATGAGGTCAAGGTCAGATGATACCTGCCAGACCGACATATACACCGTACAATCATTCCATACACCAAATACAGTTGACCTATTGCTTATAGTTTAAGAAAATCAGACCATAACACAAAAACTTAACATTGAGCAATGAACTGTGATAATGAGGTCAAGGTCAAATAAAACCTGTCAGACTGATATGTACATCATAAAATATTTCAATACACCAAATATAGTTGACCTATTGCATATAGTATTATGAAAACAGACCAAAATACAAGTTTAACTTTAACAACTGAACCATGAAAATGATGTCATGGTCTAGTATCTGAGATATGGACTTGACCACGAAAACTTAACCTTGTTCACTGATCCATGAAATGAGGTCGAGGTCAAGTGAAAACTGCCTGACAGGCACGAGGACCTTGCAAGGTATGCACCTACTAATTATAGTTATCCTTCTACTCATAATAAGAGAGAAATTAACATTACAAAAAATCTCAACTTTTTTTCAAATAGTCACTGAACCATGAAAATGAGGTCAAGGACAATGCACATGTGACAGACGGAAATTTCGCAACTTAAGGCATCTATATACAAAGTATGAAGCATCCAGGTCTTCTACCTTCTGAAATATTAAGCTTTGAAGCAGTTAGTTAATGCCGCCGCCAGGTCACTATCCCTATATCTCGCCTTCTGCAACAGAAGTCACAGGCTCGACAAAAACCATGAAAAATTAACATTGGCCAATAAACCAAAGGGCCATAACTCTAGAACAGTTAAAGTGACGCTACCAAAATTCAAACTTTATCTGTGTTTTGTGGTAATAAGCATTGTGTATAAGTTTCATAACATTTGGTTGAGGCAAACTTAAGTTAGAGAACGGAACTAAAAATTTTGTAATTTTTCCATTTATAAAGGGGCATAACTCTAGAACGGTTCGTGTGTTCTTACCAAAATTCAAATTGATCTGTATTTGGTGGTAATAAGCATTGTGTATAAGTTTCATAACATTTGGTTGAGGCAAACTTAAGTTAGAGAACGGAAACTAAATATTTTGCAATTTTTCCATTTATGAAGGGGCATAACTCTAGAACTGTTTAAGTGAAGCCACCAAAATTCAATCTTGATCTGTGTTTTGTGGTAATAAGCATTGCGTATAAGTTTCATAACATTTGGTTGAGGCAAACTCAAGTTAGAGAACGGAAACCAATTTTGGGACATACGGACTGACAAAGGTAAAACTTAATGCCCCCTCCGCTACGGCGGGGGCATAAGTAGTGATCCTATTGCTTAAAGTTCCTGAGAAATAGACCAAATTGCAAAAACTAAACATTTTTCAATGAACCATGAAATAAAAGTCAAGGTCAGATGAAATCTGCCAGTTGGACATGTACACCTTAAAATCATTCCATACACCAAATATAGTTGACTTATTGCTTATAGTAGCTGAGATACAGACTGTACCACCAAACTTTAACATTGATCACTGATCAATGAAATGAGGTTGATGTCCAGGAAACCCTGTCTGATGGACATGTAGATGTTGCAAGGAACCCATATACCAAATGTAGTTATCCTATTACTCATAACAGGTGAGAAATTCACATGACAAAAAAAAACTTTTTTTATTCCAAGCAGTCGATGAACCATGAAAATGAGGTCAAGGACAATGGATATATGACAGACAGAAACTTCATTACATAAGATATCTGCATTCAAAGTATGAAGCATCCAGGTCTTCTACCTTCTGAAATATAAAGCTTTATACAAATAGTTCACGCCTTTGTTGGATTATAATCCCTTTGTCTTGCATTCTGAGTTTTTCCTCGAAGGTGAGAAAATAAACCAAATATATTTGGTCCTATTGCTTATAGTACCTGAGAAACAGATCAAACCACAAAATCTGAATATATTGACCAATGAACCATGAATATGAAGTCAAGGTCATACAAACCCTACCAGACAGAAATGTACAGCTTACATACATTCCATACAGCAAAAATAGTTGACCTTTTGCTTAAAGTATCGAATAATCTGACAAAACCATGAAAATGAGGTCATGGTCATATGAAACTTGCCAAACAGAAATGTACACCTTACAATCATTCAATACACAAAAGATAGTGGCAATATTGCTTATGGTATCCGAGAAATAGACCAAACCTCAAAAAACTGAACATTGTCCAATAAACCATGAAAATGAGGTCAAGGTCAGATGGAACCTGCCAGTTGGACAAGTACAACTTACAATCATTCCATACAACAAATATAGTGGCCTTAAAACTTACTTATAGTATCTGAGAAATAGACCAAACCACAAGAACTAAACATTGATCAAAGAGCCATGAAATTGAGGTCAAGGTCAGATGAAACCTGCCAGTCGGACATGTGCACCTTACAATCATTCCATAAACCAAATATAGTTGAGCTAATGTTTACAGTATCTGAGATACGGACTTGACCACATAACTTTAACCTTGATCTCTGATCCATGAAATGAGGTCCAGGTCAGGTGACACCTATCTGACAGACATGTAGACGTTGCAAGGAACCCATGTACTAAAATGAGTTATTCTATTACTCGTTATAAGTGAGTATTTCACTTGACAACAAAACTAAAAGGACAATGGACAAATAACAGAAACTTAGTAACATAAGGCATCTGCATACAAGGTATGAAGCATCCAGGTCATCTACCTTCTGAAATATAAAGCTTTATACAAATAGTTCCTCGTCTCGCATTCTGTGACTTTCGTCACAGGCGAAACAAAAATGAACTGATGTAATAACATTGTGCAAGTCTATCCACTATTAACAATCAACATGTGAGCTTGAAATCCAAAATATGTGCTTTCAACAGATGAAAAATAGAGATCTGATTTCTATTTCAACAGTACCTTCACTGACATTGTTGATGGTCAGATAAAAATACCAAAAAAAACTAAAGGGAACTGTGAAGTTTTTCTAGGCAAATTAAATTTACACTTCTCATGTAAACTAGAGGCTCTCAAGAGCCTGTGTCACTCACCTGATTCTACTTTGGTTTTGGAAATCATGTTAAAATAGATTAAAATCATAACAGATACCCTAATTATGAGTGAGGCCAAATTTGGTTTAATATTGGCCCTGTAATTTAATAAAAAATCCTGGAGGCCATCTTGTACAGTAAATCAGCAACAGAGTAGCAACACTTCATCAGCACCTCATAAGAAACATTTATGCCATGTTTGGTTTCATTCTATTCAGTGCACCTCTAGAAGAAGACATTTGTATGTATTTCCAATAGGATCTTATGTTAAAGGAAGTCCCCCCGCTGGCGGCCATCTTGGATGATGGATCGGCTTCAAAGTAACAACACCTGGTCAGCACTTCATAAGGAACATTCATGCCATGTTTGGTTTCATTCCATTCAGTGGTTGTCTAAAAGAAGACATTCGTATGTATTTCCCATAGGGTCTTATGTTAAACTAAGTCCCCCCGCTGGCAGCCATCTTCAATGATGGATCGGCTTCAAAGTAACAACACTTGGTCAGCACCTCAAAAGGAACATTCATGCCATGTTTGGTTTCATTCCATTCAGTGGTTCTTTAAAAGAAGACATTTGTATGTATTTCCCATAGGGTCCTATGTGAAACTAAGTCCCCCGCTGGCGGCCATCTTGGATGATGGATAGGCTTCAAAGCAACAACACTTGGTCAAAACCTCATAAGGAACATTCATGCCATGTTTGGTTTCATTCCATTCAGTGGTTCTCTAAAAGAAGACATTTGTAAATATTTCCCATAGAGTCCTATGTTAAACTAAGTCCCCCACAGGCGGCCATCTTGGATTATGGATCGGCTTCAAAGTAACAACACTTGGTCAGCACCTCATAAGGAACATTCATGCCATGTTTGGTTTCATTCCATTCAGTGGTTCTCTAAAAGAAGACATTTGTATGTATTTCCCATAGGGTCCTATGTTAAACTAAGTCCCCCGCTGGCGGCCATCTTGGATGATGGATCAGCTTCAAAGTAACAACACTTGGTCAGCACCTCATAAGGAACATTCATGCCATGTTTGGTTTCATTCCATTCAGTGGTTCTCTAAAAGAAGACATTTGTATGTATTTCCCCATAGGGTCATATGTTAAACTAAGTCCCCCGCTGGCGGCCATCTTGGATGATGGATCGGCTTTAAAGTAACAACACTTGGTCAGCACCTCATAAGGAACATTCATGCCATGTTTGGTTTCATTCCATTCAGTGGTTCTCTAGAAGAAGTTCAAAATGTAAAAAGTTAACAAAGACGACGGACGCCAAGTGATGAGAAAAGCTCACTTGGCCCTTCGGGCCAGGAGAGCTAAAAAAGGGATGTAATATTAATCAAAGTAAAGTTAAACCCGAGCTGTCTTCTTCTTCCAATTAAGCGGCCGCAATCAACTGTCTGATTATTCTGCCACTGCTAACCAATTCAACATTAATACTTACTGGATGACAAAGTATTCCATTAGGGATGCCAATGAGACAACTATCCCTCAAAGATCAATGAATTATGATCTTTCAAATAATGTAGCTGGTATTTTAAATAATAAACAAACACTAAAGTTCATTTCAACACTTCATTCATTTTTTGTATAAAATATTTTAGCACTATAAACAGTACAATGTACAATAACAGCAAAAACATTTGTCACAACAATGGTTTTTTAAATAACAAGAACTATAATGTGTGAAGTTTGATGGGATAATTAGAGTATACATAAGTTAGAAATGTTCTCAAGGATGTTCAATAATAGTTTACAACTTCCTTCTAATTTTCTTTTTAAACATCTTGCATGTAATCAAACATTTATTCTCCTAAAAAAAAGCACTTTTTTTCCAAGATGAAAACATTTTGAAATTGACATGGTCTTTAAATGACAGTTAACACATTTTTCCATCAAAATATTAATTTCAAAAATGTTTATTTTGTACTTCATTTTTTCATACTTTTATGTATTGTACATAAATCTTCATGAAAAATGCACAATTCATTTGAATTCAATATTGAAGATACATTAGAGAATAGCCTTATCGATGATGTTGTATTTAGCAAAATAATCAATACACAAAAGGGTCTATACATATTTAAATCAGAAATAAATGCTGTCCAAAAATAAGAAATGCCACACATGAATTAACAATCGTATCCAGGTTCATAATTTCAGACTGAACTTGGTGCATATTGAAATTGTTCAGTAAAACAGAAAATGTATTTGATCCTAAATCTGTAGATATAAAGAAACAGGTTTATATTCATACAAGGGAAATGAATGATTGAGCAAAAAAAAAATGCCTACTATTACCATGAATTTAATGATCCCCCACTATTCAAATAGAAATATATTATTAACCTTCTATTGTAAATATCCATTTAAAACCAATAAACTTTTTTTACTTAGAAATCAGCTAATTTTTTATGCCTTTTGTATTTCTCTCATCTTTATCTAAAAACTATCATAATGAGATACAGATTTGAAATTTATTTGGTATCAATTCAAAATTTTGGAGACAAAAGGAAAGCAAAATGGTACATTTCCCCCCAGAAATGCAAGGAAAATGGAATTATCTTATATACATAACTTACATGAAAAGAATGATGCATAAAGATTTTATACTATATCTGTCTTGAACTATCAAAATCAAATGCAAAACAATTTACTGCAACAATGTTATTTAAAGAATAAATTTACTGCTACAAAGTTATTTAAAGAATTAAGTATAAATTGCAGTCAGAAAATTTCCCAAATCACAAATTATCATGCCAGACTGAACTTACTGGATAGAATATTTAATTGCAATGATAATGAATAGAAACTCTTTAATTGCAGCTTTCAAATAAAAATTACTATGGCAATCAATACATTATTTACAAGTAAAAAACAATAAATATTAGTGAATCCTTGTCAGTTCTTCTATCATCTTGACTATATCATCTACAGTTGACTCTCTCTTCATGCCACTACCATCATCCATCTGAAAATTAAAATCGATTAAGACTATTAAACTAGTGACAAACAATATTTCGGGTCATTTTTGGCTCTTTTTTTTAATATACACAGACCATATGTCTGAAATCAAAACCCTGAAAATTAATACTTTCAAGACATATTATAATATTAAAGACATGTTTGTTGTGTAATTTTCCTTTTATGACAATTGTATAAACATGATCTAAGTGTAGATAAAACCTTGCTAGTGAAAACACTGCTTTAGCCATATCAAACAGTTTTGTTGAAGGCCCTACGGTGGCCTATAGTTGTTAATTTCTGTGTCATTTAGTCTCTTGTGGAGAGTTGTCTAATTGGCAATCATACCACATCTTCTTTTTTATATCAGCCCTTTCAAAAAAAATATTTACAGGGTCTTTTCCGTAAAAATCAAAACTACCTTAGTTAAGTATCAATAAAGATCGTGTTTAAATTAAGAATTATCTGTGAACTACAACTTAAGTTACTGTTGCATCTTAACTGAAGTTTTGTTTGTTTCTACAGATAGACAATACCACCACATCAGAATTTGATGGTATATTAATAACGATAAGTGATCTCTAAAAACTTAAAACTATCAGGTGAAACTCACCAAATGAGTTTCATATTTATTGAGTCATAAGTTCTCAAAATCAGGAAAACATCTTTCAAGAGAGATATTATTTTAGGGATCAGAAAGCAGTACAACTCTTTTGTTGGAGGCTTATACACATTCTATGCAAGCTAAATTTTGTCATTACAAAATTTGAATAAGTGCAGAAATTTGTTTTGCATATAAAAATTCCCTATTTGTAATTACCTGTAATGCTTGTACAACCTCTTGCATTTTGTCTCTATTCAGATCTAAGAAACTTTCAATTAAATCTCCATCTATGAATCCAGTTGATGGTTCTGTTTTCCTTTCTGTGTGAAATGATCTCCAGCTGAGTTTTTGTTAAGGTTTTGAATTTAGCATGGTGTGAACAAAAAACATAAATAAATTTCTTCATCAATGATACATACTTGTCATTATAAAAATTCCAAATTCAGAAGTTTTAATTCAATTAATTTTCGGATTTTAGAATAAATAAAACAGTTTTATCAAATTTATTTTGGGTATGAGAATGAATATATATAATTTTATTTATATTCTCTAGGAATTAAAAAGAGTAAGTGATATCTTCCCTAGATTAGATCAAAGATTGTAATACATATACAGTTTAATATTCTCCAAATATATATATACAAACAATCTAGAAATTTAGCTGACTCTAAAATCTGAGGAGTTAAACCTAAAAGTTGTTCTTAGGTATTTATTAGGTTTCACCATCTGGAAGATTTACAAAATAATTACAAATGCCTACACAAAATGAGGTGGACATCTTCAATGCTAAATTCCTTCATGTCTGTCTGACATTTACCATACTATTAGGTGGGATTTGCACCTCATAAAACGGGTTGGAATTGTCCTGTGGTAGTTGTTCACTCTGCCATCAAAGTTTCTCCATTCTTAGGAGCAAAAACTTGTGCACCTCATTCTCAGCCTGAAAGGTCTTATAATTTTCATCACTGGAGTTTAGTTTATCAAATATTTATACGAACAATTCAACATAACAATGAATTATGATCATAAAAAATGGATACAATGAATGGTCTATTTTTCCGACACTCTTGATGACCTTGGCCAGACGAACTTGTATCTCTGACAAGAAATTAAAGAAGTCTTGAGGAACTTGTGTAACCAATCCTGTAAAAAGATCGAGTATTATGTATGTTGTACTGGGGTGAAAAATATTTAGTTGGACTTCACAAGAGATTTAAACTGTCTGTTTATCATCTCTATACAGTCCCACTGCTATAAGTAAATTATTACCGTTAAAAGGCTTGTATAGTCCGCGGTTTTATTCTCCAAAAGTGACCCTGAAAGCAGGGGTGCGGACTATAGCTATAGAGTACAATAAGCAAGAAATTAAAGAGAAAATTTCAATTTCGCGATGTGGTTTGTTTACGTTCCGCCATGTTTGTTATTGACATTGTAGAGGGTGCTCTTTTCATTTTTTCAAACCAATAATTTTACCCAATCCATATTAATAAGTTATTTTTATTCAATATCAAATTAATACTGATAAATTTAAAAATTAAATGCTTCATTACAAAATTCTTGTTTCTTTTCAATGCATTGCTAAATATAAACTGGTATCTACTTGAATGAAATCTTACAAAAAAAGTAAAAAAAGACAACCGTAAACCAGCTTACGTTTTGGTGTTTCCTATTGACAAATATGTTTCGTATTAGATTAAGACCCTTCAAATATTAATGTGATAGATATATAAAACCCTGTTTTATATAAGGAGGGAACTGTTTTATTTTCAAAGTCGTATTATAGTGATATCTATTATGTACGGATTTCGATTCTCACCGGGTTTTTCCATCTTTTACACATGCTTTTCAAACTTCCGGTTTAAACATACACAAGTTTCTAAATTGTTTTTTGTGTGATTTAGACTTATATTAACCAGCGTGAAGTGTTTTAGAACCATTTACAAGCAGTTTCAGCTTCTGTTTGGTGATGGAAAATAGGTTTTGCCAAGAAAATACCGCAAACGACCACACACGATTTAAAATTACCGGAGTTTCATTAGACCTTTTCTAACAGTTACAAAAAGTTTTTTTACCCTAGATTTCGTGGGGAGAAGGGGGTGCGGACTATGTACCAGTGCGAACTATACAAGCCTGATTACATTATTACTTATTCGAGTAAATGTTTGTATTATCTACTTACTTCTACAAGCAAATATTTTTAAGTTTTTACTTGTTGAAATTTTTTTCTTTCTAAATATGAAAATTAAAATTTTTATTCAATGCTTTGTTACATTTAATCTCAACAAACTTTAAAATGACTAATTCAAACATAAAAGTGCAAAGAATTTTAATTTGATTGCTAACATTTATATTACTTTGATGTTATACAAAGGGACTGATCTTTGAACACCATGCACCTTTCCTATAACGTTGTGCGCTATCACAACACTTGCTATTATATAAAGCCTACAGATTGAACTTTTATTTGAGGTCCCAATGACCTAAAATGAATTCCAATTAAATCACAGCAAAAGGTTAAATTATCTTTTTGCCTCTCACTTGAAGTAAATTTTATGAAAAAGGGAAGCACACTCAAGAAATCTAAAAGTTTACTTCAAGAAGTAATTTACTTCTGTAAGTGCATCAAGATTGCATATAATAATCAATAGTACTTATCCACTCTGACATGCATCATTTGACTGCTAAACTTTATTATAAACCTATGGTATAACCTTCAGTGATTGCAGCACAATTTTGGGATAACCTTCATCACTTACAGGGAAGAGTAAAAGGAGAAGGTCTGGTAAGGGCTATATTTGGCCTAAAATTCAAAGTACTTCTGATGAAAGATTTTTGACTTTAAACACTTAAGTGTCTACTTTAGTTGATTCAATTAGTTTATGTGAAGGATTCTAAATGATTTGGTCATTAAAGACACTCAAATTCAAGCTTAAATATGAAAAATCTATCAAATATGCCATAAAACGTCACTTTTCAGATGGCTTTAGTCTAAAATGTAAGTGGCCGCATCCGTGTACAGTCTCAACCCATTTTAGACAAAAAACATCTTAAAATTTACTAAAATTCTGAAGAATTCAGTAATTTTGCATGAATTTATTATGCTAGTACCTGATGCATGTGCATTGTATTGTCAAAAACAGCCTATAGTTATGGAACAAAAGTATTCTTCTTTCCAATAAATAGCTAAAAGTTTACATTTTCAACAAATTTGTAAAAATGCTATATTTTGGGGCCAAAAAGGGGTCTTACAGGGCCTACTCCTTTGAAAATCAAAATGAATGCAACCTCTTTGATCACCAAAGATTTAAAGGGATTAAACAAGACAGAGTCAACTTCCCCTGAGGGAGTCACCTGAAATTTTAGTTTATATTAGTAAATTACATAATTTATAGACAAACTTTATCATATAAATAATGTCAGTTCCAAAGAACTAGCAATTTGGGACATGGTACCCTCCAGGACTTGCTAGTCTAGAAGTATTTTTATTATTACCTATTGCTCCATTTACAGTACCATACAAAACAGAACCTTGTGTTGGAGTACTGCTCTCCAAAGCATGCTGCATAACCAAGGAACCTAAAACAGGAAGAAAACTGTTGAAGTACAAATCTAAGATGACATTTATTTATACAGAACCTTGTTTTTCAACAATATTAACATAAGATTTTTGGTTTAATGAAACAACACAAAAAAAAAAAACCCTTTATTATGAAAATGTTTATCAAACATATTCAAATCATACTTTTTTAGGGAATGTTATTTGTTATTTATGCGTAAAAAACTTTGCTTTTGCCCTAAATTCATAAAGAAATAAACTTTCAGAAACTTAAAAATATTCAGTAGTAACTATGTTTCATTTTTTTTACAAACTTTACGTGAATGATCACATTTAGCTGAAAAAAGTATTACTAATTTTTAGACTAGACAAATTTTCCACTTTATGAGCAGTTACTTCATTCTTTATTACTGTATGCAATGCCTAGGTAGGTGAAAGTCACTACAAAATGTTCTAGGAATTTATAGATCACTGCTAAAACATGTACATTACACTGGGGACCAGAAGGTAGGTCTTAGTCATCCCCTCATATTTTAAGCAAAACTAACCATGTCTGAAAACATTTACAAATTCACCAAGGTGGAACAATCCTACTTCTTGCAAGTTTTGTCGTTCTTCATCTGTTGTTGCAGCACTGTATTAAAATTAAACAGATTAAAGTTAACCCAATGTCATTAATACACACTCAAATCTGAATCAAAGCCATTGATAAGTACTTTCATGTAAAGTAGACTACTTGAAATATAGAATATTAAAACATCTCTTTTAACCAAGATGTTAAGTATTCATGTTTTCATAGACTAGCCATAATTTCTACTATTATCTTTTGGTATTAATTATTAAGCATTGGTAAATCACTAACCTATCTTTCTGACATGTGAACAAGTTGAATGAATTCTCAGCTCCTAAGAAATTATCATCATCTAAAATTTCTACAGCTGTCATCCAGTTAGGATTGCAATCTCTGGCAATCTGAAATCAATCATTCATACGTATGAAAGATTATTAAACTAAAACAATTTACAAGCGCTTACTTAAAAGAGACACAACAATTATTCCCATACACCCCTCCTTCTCCTGTATGCACCTCTTCTACAAACAATCTTCAAGTACAAGAACTGATGCTTTATCCTGTGTAAACCTTTCATTGCAAGTTGATAGCTGTTCTGTGTTAAAAGCAAGATGGTACCATAAAAGATACCAGGCTTAATATAATTTTTTACACCAGACACAAGATTTTGTCTATATGAGACTCATCTGGAAATCATATTTCATTTACAATTCCATTTGATTTATAAAATTGTAATGGTGATATTTTAATTAATGCAACAAATACAAACAAGACATTATGAGTATCACATTTTAATATTTGACAGCAATATTTGTGTGAGAATAATTCATGAATAAGCACTACTTTTTTTGCGGGTATTCAACATTTGCATTTAATAGAGAATTCATATTTGTAGGCAACACTCTTGGCCTCATAATTTTAACCAAAGTTCATCAAATTCTAATTTACTGTATCAATTTCATAATGAAAAAATTTATCTTAATAAAAGTTTATTTTTATTTTACATATTTAAGCTTCAAAAAAGAAATTTAATCAAGTACAGAAAGCTCTTACACCCTACAGACTTTTACTACAATAAGTTTATTAGTATAAGTACTAACCTCCTCAAAGCATCCTTCCATAGGTTTATACAACAACAAAGTGATTGATCTCATTAAGTCTCCGACCAAAGCAAAATCTCCTTTAGTTTTCAAATACAAAGCTATTATGTTGTTAAAATGGCTACATTCTAATCGAAGTTCCTTCTCGGCAGTCCACTCAAACAATCTAACCTGCAAAAGAAAATATACTTGATTTTCTACCAGTGTAAGCTATGTTACAAAGTATTGTATTCTGTCTCCAATCAGCTATAATGATTGAACTATACAAACATAAAAAGTATCTTCAATAATTTACAAGTACTAATCAAGAAAACGAGTGGAAAGAATTTGTAAAAGATTAGCAAACAATAAAATTACAATAAGGCTCTTTTCTTTTTCTTCCTATTTTGCTTGTCTAAACTCCTATCTATTTTAATCTTTCTAAAAACATTTATCTTTTAATATATCTTATTTCCTAGTTTAGGGAGATGAATATCAAAAGACAATCCCATAACATATACTTCTTCAGCACATCATCAATATTGTGAGACATCTATTACAATACCCTATCAACTTGACAATAGCTTTAATAATAAAAATTAGTAAGGGTTCTGCGGAACCCAGTGTCTCGCCTACTTTTTCTCTTAATCGCAGGCTCAACAAAAATGAGGAAGTAAATCAATAAAAATATTCCTCTTGATACTATCTTTTGAATGTAAGAAGCTTCTGTTCAAGTTTGGTAAAAATCCAGGATATTTTATGAATCTAATAAATGTTTAAAAACTTTAACTGCAGACTGAATGTAATGTTAACTGGAAGAAAACAAAATTTTCTTCTAGATACTAGCATTTGATCATAAACAAGCTTCTGTCCAAGTTTGGTACAAATCCAAAATAGTATAAGAAAGTTATTAAAATTTAAAAAACTTTAACCACAGAGTGAATGTGTTGTTTCCTGGCAGAAAATCTAAGTCCATTAAAAGTAAAATCTGGAAAAAATGGATTTATTTTTTTACAAAATTACCTTCTAGATACTAGCTTTTGATCATAAACAAGCTTCTGTCCAAGTTTGGTACAAATTCAATATAGTAAAAGAAAGTTATTAAAATTTTAAAAACTTTAACCACAGAGTGAATGTGTTGTTTCCTGGCAGAAAATCTAAGTCCATTTAAAAGTAAAATAAGGAATTTTTCTTTTTACAAAATTTACTTCTGGATACTATCTTATGATCATAAACAAGCTTCTGTCCAAGTTTGGTAGAAACCAAGGATAGTTTAAGAAAGTTATTACAATTTTAAAAACTTTAACCACAGAGTGAATGTAATATTTCCCGGCAGAAAAACTAAGTCCATTTATAAGTAAAATACGGAAAAAATGGAATTTTATTTTTACAAAATTTACTTCTGGATACTATCTTATGATCATAAACAAGCTTCTGTCCAAGTTTGGTAGAAATCCAGGATAGTTTTAAGAAAGTTATTTTAAAAATTTCAAAAACTTTAACCACAGAGTGAATATTTGTGGACGCCGCCGCCGACGACATGTAGGATCGCTATGTCTCGCTTTTTCGACTAAAGTTGAAGGATCGACAAAAATTAAAAACTTGTAACATTTATTTTTTGTGCATATTTGTAAAGTAATTAAAAATTCCATGTAACAGTAATGTGAGTTATCTCCCTTGATTTTCTGTATGTAATGTTGTCAGTTTAAAGTATTTGAATAAATAGGTATATCATATCAAAATACTTAATGTAGCTTATCTTTAAATCAAAGCACTGTAAGCGCTGTAGGCAGTTAACCAAAAACCAAGGCAAACGTAATTACCATAGAAAGGCTTGTATAGTCCGCGGTTTTATTCTCCAAAATTGGACCTTCCAGACAGGGTGCGGACTATAGAGTACAATAAGCAAGAAATAAGAGAAAAATTTCAATTTCGCGGTCGAGGTGGTTTGTTTACGTTCCGCCATCTTTGTTATTTCTATTGTAGAGGGCGCTCTTATCATTTTTCAAACTAATAATTTTAACTCATCCATATTAATAAGTTATTTCTATTCAATATCAAATTAATACTGATAAATATAAAAACTAAACCTTTCATTACAAATTTCTCGTTTCTTTTCAATGCATTGGTTGAAATAAACTGGTATCTGCTCGATTGAAACGATACAAACATAGTGAAAAAGACAACCGTAAACCAGCTTAGAATTTGTAAACTACAAAACGAAATCGGTTATTGTTCGTTCCGTTTTGGTGTTTCATACTGACTAATATGGTTTGTATTAGCTTAAGACCCTTCAAACATTAATGTGATAGATATATTAAAGACTGTTTTACAAAAGGATGGAACTGTTTTACTTTCAAAGTCGTATTATAGTGATATCTGTTATGTACGGATTTCGACTCTCACCGGTTAATTTCTTCTTTTACACGTGCTTTTTAAACTTCCTGTTTAAACATACTCAAGTTTCTAAATTGTTTTTTAAGTGAATTAAACTTATTTTAACAATCATGAAGCGTTCTAGAATCATTAACAAGCAGTTTCAGCTTCTGTTTGATGATGGAAAACAGGTTTTTCCAAGAAAATAACGCAAACGACCGCACAGGATTTGAAATTACCGGAGTTTCATTAGACCTTTTCTAACAGTTACAAAAAGTTTTTTTACCTAAAATTTCGTGGGGAGAAGGGGGTGCGGACTATGTACCACTGCGAACTATACAAGCCTTTCTACGGTATGAAAACTGTGGGAGTCTTGCTTCAATTTTTTTTTAAGATTTGAAAAAAGAAACATTAAACATTTGTATATTGTACATTGTTTATTTAATGAAATGATTACTAAGGCAAATTAATTAATATTTTATCAAGGTTTTCAAAAGCAACGCATATATATATCATTCAGTATAAGTGGTAAAAGTTGACGAAGAATGAGTTTGTAATAGTATGAATGGATTTGCTTCCCTGGAAGGAACACCGAATTTGGGTTCTTCAGTGCAAAAATTATGAAAAACAAATCAGACAAATGTTTACTACTACAGGGATCAAAGGTGAGGTCTGACTGACCTGCTCATAGTAAATGTAAATTACCCCCACTTTCACCCCAAGTCGTAGATGTCACTCTATACCAAGTTTGGAATAAAATGACAGGTGATTATAAAACAGTTGGTCTAACATTCTTGGGCTTTACACTTCTTGAAAGATTCATATGTTTTCTTTAAAAATGAGCCATAAATGAAATAATTCAAAAAATATTTTACGTAAATCCAATCAACCTAGACTCATTTTTAGCATCAATAAAATTTTATAATGAACAAGAAATAATTGTAACAGGATGCTGTGACGAAGTTTCCCTAACAAAGCTCCCATAATTCGTCATTCCCATGGTCGCCTGGCATTGGACAGTTCACATTGGTTTGGTCTAGTAAAGTGATATGCATATGTAACGCCTAGGAAATTGACCCTGTTTGTCATTCAAATCTTTTTGAAATGACGAACAGGAATAAATAGGGTTTAGGAGTGGGCATCTCGACCGTTTACAAGTTCTCAAACAGGAGGGGGTGTGGTGACCCCCAGGGATTTCCCCCTTTATTTCCTTTCATTTGTTATACTGTTCCATACATGAATATATATAGTTTAGGGGTGGGGATCTTAACCGTCCTGTTTGTCATTCAAATCGTTTAGAAATGACGAACAGGAATAAATAGGGTTTAGGAGTGGGTATCTCGACCGTTTACAAGTTCTCAAACAGGAGGGGGTGTGGTGACCCCCAGGGACTCCCCCTATATTTCATTTGATTTGTTATATTGTCCCATACATGAATATATATGGTTTAGGAGTGGGGATCTTAACCGTTTCCAAGTTCTAAAACAGGAGGGGTGGAGTGACTCACGGAAACTCCCCCTATATTTCATTTGATTTGTTATACTGTCTCTTCCATGAATATATATGGTTTAGGGGTAGGGATCTCGACTGTTTACAAGTTATCAAACAGAAGGGGGTGGGGTGACAACGGGGACTCCCCCAAATTATTTTCATTTTGATTGTTTTATTATCCCATACAAGAATATATATGGTTTAGCTATAGGGGTGGGAATCACAATTCACCCTATATTTTATTTGATTTATTTTATTGTCCTGTTCTCATTAATGAAGACAGTGTGTGTCTATCACTTACTGTTTTCGAGTAATAGTCATTTGAAAATAATAAAAAAATCCCATATGGTTCTACAGTAAACCCCATCCCTTCTTTAGGCCCCTCAAAATACCCCTAAATAAGGCACAAACGAAAATTGATGGCTTACATTTTATGAAACCTAAGTAAATCTGACAAGCGGTCCGAGTTGTCTTGTTAGATAGGCTGAGTAGACTCTGTCCGACTTGTCTCCGGGACGAGTTGTTCCGCATTTCTTAAAACATCGACCAGTACGTCAATTTCCGTAAAAATAACATCAGAATCAAACGAACTTACGTTTCGTGTACGACTAATACCTGCAAACTTTCATGATTTAGGCGTGAACTACATGATATTGACCCGCTGTCCTGATTTCACGATCGTGTTCGTGAAAATAGATAGCCCCAAAACACGATACTTTGAAAATTACACGCAAAATATTTTTGTTTTCCCAAGGGAGGCAACTCGTGTTTAACAAATTTAATCCAATCAAAAGTCAGTGGTCACGCATTCACCAGTTGATTAATGGTACTATATAGTAAACAATCAAAGAATAGAAGTTTGTTAAGTATTTAGAGTTGTTTTTTTGGGCTTGGGTGTTAGAATTATTAAAATCGGAATCACTAATGACAAGTATCACTTGCAAAACTTGTTATATTGGTATATATGTAACGGAAACCAGTCTAGTGCATTCTCCGAGAGTGCATTACTTGACAAGGTCATTTATGTAAAAAACGGAGTAATATAAAAGAATGAAATTCAAATGTGATTACACAATTTATTAACACTCACCTCAAACAAAAAGAATTTCATGATTAACAATAATTACCTTTCTATCATCAGAATCCTCAAAATTTAAAAGTTACGTTAATTTTGTCTTCTAATTTGAAATTGCCGCCAACTTATTAATAGACTACTGACGTATTTAATACGTATCGACGACAAACAATATCCCTACGACTTTTGCCATTTGGGAAATGTAAACGACTTGTCTTTAGAGATTTTCGGCGATTAAATATTTCATACAATTGTTCTTTGACATCTTAGCCAAAAGTACAGTGGAAAATAAACTACATAAGGATTTCTATTGAGCACTACTTCCTATGTGCAACTTCAAAAATTTTGGGTTGTTCGACGATCATTTAAGGTTTTTCTGGTCATATTTTTTGTATTCCAGAATTGATAGTATGAAAAAAGTGCCCAATTAGTTATTAATAACATACTAAGCCAGATAGATAATAACAACAGCACTTTTTCACTATTCAGTGGGAAGAACACAAATCTAGGGTGCTAGCATATGGCAGCTTAACTGCCAAAAAACCCCTACTTTAAATTTATATATGTTAAGAAAAATGTGGTTTTTAAGAACCTCAGCTTACTTACTGACTTGATTCTTAGCAATACACTTTAACAATCCCTGACTAAACTTTCTACAAGATTAACTGGTACTTACAGTACTATTTATACTAGCCAGTAGTTTTCCATTAAATTCTACCAAGCTGTAGGCTGCTCCCTTGATGTCTTTTTCTGCAACTTGATTTAATTTACCTATAACATAAACTCAATTTTCAATTTCAATGACAGAAATTTTAATGGCAAGGAAAGAGTCTTAAACTATTCTAGCAACCCATAATTGACATGACTAAACGAAATTGAAACATTTCAATATTGTCTTTGTTTAACTGGTAGGCATACGACTGTTTGTTGTTCATCTTAATATGATATTCACATTTGAACTCTACCTGTAAAAAAGTTTTTGAACAGAAACTTAACTTTAAAAAGGTTTTCTAACAAAAAATACATATCCACCACTATTCTATTCTTAAGAATCAGGACTGATAATTTATAAAACCATCCAGATAATACTCAAAAATAAAATTTTACTATTTAACTGATTTAAATAAATTGCTCTACATGCAAATCATTATACATGTAACAGATTTATCACACATTGTCAGCTAGTCTTCACATCTTTGCATTCATCCAATTTTTGACATATAACCACCTGCTATCTATGACCTATAGAACTTACCATCGCTGAAGTCAAAGATGATGATCCTTCCTTGTTTAGGTTCCCCTTCCTCTGGATGAACAAGTGCTGTTCCTACTACGTAGTATGTTTTTGGATCATCACCAAACTTGGCTGAGATCAAACTAGTTGCAAACTCATTTGTCATTAATTGATGGGCATGATGTACTAGAGGAAAAAAATAAAATGTCATTCAGTTATTAAATGTGGTACCAAAAAGTAGTTTTCTATGTATCCCCATTTTTTTTTTAATGACAGGGAATTCATGTGTTTTATTTTACAATAAACATTAAAAGATGATGTACTCCTGGAAATATTTATACTGTCTCATTTAATTGTGAACCATAAAATTATACATTAAATTCATAAGTGAAGTACAATTAAAATTGACAATTACTATTTACAATCAACAAAATTTCTCAATGAATTTTTATCATTTATTTATATCTACTAAGCAACAACTTTTAATAACAAGACCAGTACCAGGTCTGGACCTGATTTGCTGATTGTAATTGATTGGAAAAACATGTATACTGGAGCATAACTGATCATTACCCATCATTGAAGCAAAGAAAGCTTTGATGAAAATTTTCCTTCTACAATGAGTGTTGTAAAATTTCCAACTATCCGCACACAGGAAGTGGCTACACGGCAGATGTTAAAAAAGCTTACTCACATTTTCGAGCTGCAAACCAAATATTATATCATTCCCTTTCATTAAAAAGTTTCCTTATCTAGGTCTTTCAGATCGAGTTGAACAGTTACTAGGCCTGCTTTCGCCTTTGGCCACGCAGGTAAAAATAATCACATCATGACTCCTTATCTTTCCAATTTTTTAAGACAGCTGTTTTAAATGGATAGATTTTATTGGTGGTTTTTTCTCATATATCAAATGTAAATTCATTATTTAGCTGTCTCACTCTTATATACATAATTAATGAATATGAATTACCCTCAAACGTGTGCTGATCTATAATTAGCAGAGTGTGAACTTCCACTTCATCTCCACAATGTTCTCCCATTGTACTTGTTCCTTGTGTGACCATTTTACCACTAGAACTTGATGTTGTCATGGCAGCATGTGTACTAGCACTAGGTCGTGTAGGGGTCATACCACTGCTGTCTTGAAGGTCAAGTCGCATTGATATTACACCAAAAGTTTGAGATGCCTCCTGGTAAGCTATACGCCTTAAATTTAAACATTTAGCATTGAAATTTTCTGCTTAAACTCCTTTTTACACTAAAAATATTTAACACATTGTTTTCTAGATTTATTCAAGTACATCACCACGATGTTTGTGTAAAAAGTATTACTGATATATGTATGTGAATAAATATCTGCCATCCATAGTTTGTGTCTTTTTTTGTTTCATTAACGAAGTAATATCCGTATTTATGTTGTAACAACACAGGTAAGCTCAGCTATCGATAGCTATGATTTCTTAAGAGTATAGTACAACCTTGCTCACACTTTGTTCAGTTATCATCAGCTTGTCTCATTAACAAGATGGTTAAGAAAAATTATTTCTTTGATAATATATAATTAAAAACTAATTTGTTTCTATCACTCAACAAAAATGTTACAGAAAGAGGCTTAAATTTTGATCAAAAATGATTATATGTCTGAAGTTCAGCAAAATAGTTTTTTCACTATCATTTCTCACAGAGTCCCTTAACTGAAATCTTACTTGTTATATATCTTATTTCTTTAAATTATGAAATAAAGATTATTAATGAAGATAATCATGATTGATGAAACAAGTGAAACTGTGAGCTACTGCTCACTGATGATACCCCCGCCCAAATATTTCGATAAACAGGAAGTTGTTGAGTGATGAATCTGAAAACGCATCACACGGTATAGCCGACTCATATAAACCCTGAATCATAATTTCAGAAATCCTTATAATGTAGTTCCTGAGAAAAATGCGACGAAAAATATTCATGGGACGGACTGACGGATGGATGGACAGACAGAGGTAAAACAGTATACCCCCACTTTTTTAAAGCGGGGGTACAATAATAATACATCAAGTTTTCTGAAGATTCTGTTTAGGTCATTGTTCTTGAGTCTTCATATATATATTACGTAAACAAGGGAAAATGGCATCCATGACATGTGGTCATGCACGTTACACATTAGTTATATCTGACAAAAGTCTGATTTATCTGTTCAGATGGGATTTATATGTATATTGCAATACATCATTCAGAAGGAGGTACATTCATCTTCAGCATTTGCAGAAACCTAAATATTCTCAATCTTTTCTTAAACTTCCAATGAATCATTTATGTACATATGGTTGAAGCTGTAAATAGGCAATCATAAAAGTAATCAGCATATTTAGACATTTTCAGGAAAGCTGAAACATCATACTTACCTGGGAGATTCAAACAGGGGTATTGTTCTTATGTGTAGTTTTTGGATTTCATCTATAGTTCCAATTGTTAATGTGTTGTCATTTGCCAAGGCTAAACTGTAACAAACAAAAAACTTGTTCCATCATAAGGCAATAATATGTAGAAATAGAAGATGAATTAAAATCCACAAGAACACACATTATTTATATATATACTGTGGATTTATTAGTATTTGTGGGATACCAAGTTTTGTGGATTTTCTGGGTAAACGTGAACCACAAATATAAATGTTCAATGAAATATAAATCTTTTATAGGCTTGTACACAGACTTCCGGCAAAACTATGAAATTAAATATCCACTAAAAATGCAAATTTCCTTCAACCCACAAAAATAAATGAATCCAGTGTATAATATGTTGTTTAAATACATGAAATGTTGATGTTCTATATGTCAGGGCTGGTTATGCATTTCTCCCCTGAACTTTAACTTACGTAATTTGTTGAAGAGAAGTCCAATCTGTGTTTGTTATGAGACATGATTTGGATTTTTTAGATTGGCTTTAGGATTAGTTTTATAACTTTATGGTTTTGTTGCTGAATAGTTCATTCTGTAAACTTCTAACTTGTCAGAAATCCCTTCAATTTCTTGGTGCACCATTTTTTCCTTGTTGAGGACACCAATATTTACAAAAATAATTTTTCAATTCTTAAATCTTTGTGAAGCGTCATGCCAATTTTTAAAGATTAAGACACCGCAAATAGTACAAGGTAGAGTACTTACAGGTACTAAACTGAATTGTGTTTGTTTCTCCTAGAGATACTTCATTTAATCTGATTCCCAAGTTATTTATGCAGTACAATTCTTTTAAAATATGTCAATTTCAGACATAATTTCTATGTCTGACAGTGAGAGTCTGCATGACTGTTATTAATTAATTTAGTGTTTTTCCCCCTAAAACAACAAAAAATGACAGTATTTCCTGAAAGACTTGCTAGTAGATTTGATAACACTGCATCATAAAATAACTATAGTGGTACCTACCTGTCCGGATATCCTTCAGAATTTAATGGACACATATGATTCACTTCTTTAAGATTTACATTAGAAAATACAAGTTTGTGATTACTAGAATAAATAACAGTTGGACGATCAGAACAAGCGAAAACATTTGTGGTTGATAGAGATTTAAATGTCCGTAACACTGTAGGCTGTGTACCTAATGTCACTTTTCTTTTATCACAGAAAAAACCTGAAAAATACAAATAAAACAATTTTGTTGAATATACAATATCTATTTTTTTATTTGACTATAAACAAGAATATGTGTAACACTATTATTTTTCTTGTTCAGCAAAAATGTGAAATCAGGGTTTAAACCGTAATTTGGCTGATTTCAAGTAACAATTCATTCAATCATATTTCAGAAAATAAGGGAGACAAATACATTATTTTTTAATTTATAGTTATAGTTCAACAAGCCAAAGTTGCATGCCGAATTTTATCAAAATCTGTGACCCATTTACTGCACCTCAATATAATTTAAGTAACTCTACATGTAAACTTTACATTTAATGTAGTTAAAGAACTCAAACTTAGCTATCTGTAAATATAACATTGAAATTATATATAATATTTATACATACCAGTATCTACATTTAAGTTAAAGTAAAACAAAGATCCATCACCCAGAGCACACAATAAATACTGAATGTTCTCAAATGTTGACATCAAAATAGACCGAGGAATTATTTCTAAAAAATAATAAAGCAATATAAACAATTATATAACTGTAATAAAGAGCACACATTAAGTACTGAATTTTCTCAAATGTTGACATCAAAATAGAAGGAGGAATTACTCCTGAAAAAATTTTAAGCAAATAAACAATTACATAGCTGTAATACAGTATGAAAACTGTAATATAGATCAGGAATTCCTCCATTGTTGTTGGCATGGTGTTTGTATCTTAATTTTGAGTTTTATGTGTAGTGTTTTAGGGACTATTGTTTCTTATTGTCTCTTTCTTATGGCAATTGTGTTGTCCATCTTTTTTCTTTTTCTAATTTCCAACTTTAATCATTTGCACACGAGAAGGGTATTTCATTTCATAATTTTTGGCATTTGTGTAATAATCTTGTTTAAATAGCTGATTTTGTTCCATCTGATCTTTAAAACTTATCATGAAAAAACACATCTTTTTAATATCACTAATCATCATTCATTACATAATGGCACTTGCCCCTACTCAGTGTATATGAAATTTTATATTTATCTATTTTTATATATTAAGGTCTTTCAACTTGTAAATAAAACATCTATGTTAAGATTTTACCTCCCCCAAGCATTTCAACGTGTAAACTTTCAAATGAAGGTAGTCGTAGAACTCTGGCAGAAATATCTGTCCATAATCCTACGGCACATAAGTCTGATTTCTCTTCACCATCCCTAAGGGGTGTAATATCAACACATGCTACCTCATGTTCCATTGTTGTTGTACTGAAATACAAAAGCCATTTATTATATATACTTTTAAGATTTTTGTAATATGTTAATAACAAGACTATGTGTCCATATTACGCCGTGCCCTGCTTGCACTATCCTATGTTCATGTTCAGTGAACCACAAATCTGGGTCAAAATCAAATTTGTCCTACAATTTTAACACTGTAAATTCAGAATTATTGTGAGGTTTTTATTAATGGGAATTATGCCAATGGGTAGGTATCGCAATAATAATAAGTCACTTTCTGATATGCCACTTTTACTGAAAATCACAATAATTAATTTCACATTTTTGGCCTTTCTTAAAAAAATCGCATTAATTTCTGAATTTACAGTAGTTCATCTCAACATAAACATGTTAAGTTTTCAAGTTGATGTGACCAAAGCTTCATGGTTAAGTACCGTAATTCAACACTTTAACCTAAGAATGTTCTAATTTCAAAATATCACATATCTAGGTTCAGTGAACAGTGTAATTGGGGTTAAAACTGTAATTTGGCATATGCTTTAAAACGTTCACACCAGAATGAACATGCATAATGATTTTAGCACTTGGGTGCTCTAGGAAAACAGTAGTTAGGTAAATATATATGGGTTGAAGAATCAAAACATGTATTGAAGGATGAAGATTGACAAGGTGCCCTCTTATGAAAAATGAAACTGTTTCATAGGGTAGGCATACATTTCCAATTCTACACAAGACAAATGTCTAACACCATTCATTTTTGGTTTAAACAAAAAATCCTTAACTGGTATGTATCCAATAAACATGTTAATTAGTGTAAGTTTAAACCAACCTTATCTGTCTAACTTCTCCTGGTAGTATATTTAACAGGAACAGTTCACTACCAACAGCTATAATAACCTGTGATATATTACAGCTGGCCAAACTTATGTTCTTCATTGAAGGATGTTTCCACTCACTCACTAATGCTCTACTTTCTGTGTTAATTAACCTAACAGCTGACTGTGTTACCTGTATAATAAGGACAAGTGAGGAATATCTTATTTCATTGTCAAAACATTTCATATTACTGTGGATTCATTTACTTTCGTGGATTAAGGAAAAATTGCAATTTTGTGGATATTTGATTTCGTGGTTTTGACAGAGTCTAAATACAAGCCTATAGAAATTTTTTATTTGGTTGAACATTTAAATTGGTGGTTAACTTGTATCTACGAAAATTGGTATGCCACGAAGAATAATGAACCCACAGTAGTCATAAACAAAGTCACTTTCAACCAGTAAAATTGAACTGCTCACCCAAAATTACTTTTAGAAAATATGTCTCTTAATGCAAAATATGATGGTAAACTATAAAACTTACATCCTCTCCTAAAAATTAAACATCTTTCTTTTTTAAATATTTCAAGCAAAATCTATTCAAACCCTAGTGATTACTAGTAATCTCTATGTAATCAAATATAACCTAGTTTTTAACACTTGACAGCTTAAATCTAAGCAGCTTGAATGTTTTCAAAATCTATATGCTTCAAGTGTATAAATAGGACTTCCTTAATTCATTTTTGTTTTTCAGCCTGTTCCATTACATCTGTTATTCTGCATAAAGTATAAACATACATTTAACCCCGCCGCATTTTTGCGCCTGTCCCAAGTCAGGAGCCTCTGGCCTTTGTTAGTCTTGTATCATTTTTAATTTTAGTTTCTTGTGTATAATTTACTAGTAATCTCTATGTAATCAAATATAACCTAGTTTTTAACACTTGACAGCTTAAATCTAAGCAGCTTGAATGTTTTCAAAATCTATATGCTTCAAGTGTATAAATAGGACTTCCTTAATTCATTTTTGTTTTTCAGCCTGTTCCATTACATCTGTTATTCTGCATAAAGTATAAACATACATTTAACCCCGCTGCATTTTTGCGCCTGTCCCAAGTCAGGAGCCTCTGGCCTTTGTTAGTCTTGTATCATTTTTAATTTTAGTTTCTTGTGTATAATTTGGAGTTTAGTATGACGTCCATTATCACTGAACTAGTATACATATTTGTTTAGGGGCCAGCTGAAGGACGCCTCCTGGTGCGGGAGTTTCTCGCTGCATTGAAGACCCATTGGTTGCCTTCGGCTGTTGTCTGCTCTATGGTCGGGTTGTTGTCTCTTTGACACATTCCCCATTTCCATTCTCAATTTTATAACTTATAATCAGACTTTATGTACTATTAGGATGTGCTTCCACCTAATGGGTAGAAAATTCTTTTAAACCAACTGATAAAAAAATCAGCGTAATCACCTTTTTTTTCCATAAAAGTCCAGATACTATATTACATTATAATTTAAAAATAATCACTTTTTCCTTGTTCCTTTCTGCAGAAAACACTATTTATTGGATCATATAGAACAGTACCTGTAATATTTGACTGTGACAAACATTAGCACATAAAAATGTTTGTTGATCTGAATCAAAGCCTGCTAACTCTGTTTCTTCCACTTCTTCACCATTCAACATTAATACTCTTAAAATTCATAAAAAAAAAAATATTGAGATGAAACTTCTTTTGTATCTTCAAAATTCCATTGGACAATTCTGTTAAAAGACTAGAAGAGAAATTTTGACACAATTCATTATAGTCTATACAATATAATGTATCCATTGATATAATTTTTTAACATAATTTAGCAACTATCTCAGTCCCTCCCTACACCCTAACGATGCTTTAATGTATTAGGTTATGTATGGTATTGCCTGCTATTTTCTTTTCTTTCTTTTGCATGACTTGTAGGAGAGTACTCTATAGCCAGAAGTAAATTATCAAATATTTAAAATGTCATTTAATAATTTAATATAACTTTTTTACCTTGTTTGTCCAACAAATGACAAAACTATATAATCATCATAATCTGTTGATCCAATTCTCAGTGACCATATACCTGAAAGGAAAATTTAATTATTATTCATAAATGTGTATTAAATACATTTTATATTTAAGTCGCATATCAAAAAGACAAAATGCTGGTCAATGGCTGTAATAATTAAGTTCTATTACTATAAGAAAAACTTTAACCAATATATGTTTGCTACTATACATCATGTACTGTGTTACAACCCTAGATAAAGCAGATGAAGAAAGGCATTATTCAACAAAAAAAGCTATATTTTTATATAGCTTAGTTGGTTGAGTGGTCTAGGGCACTGGACACAGTGCAGGGGGTGTTGTCACGATGTCAAAAAAGCAGGGGTTCAAATCCTGCTTAGGGAAGAACAAAAATTTGTTGACACAAATTTGCAGATCTAACATTGTTGGGCTAAATTTGAGATAAATTATATATATAAACTATAATCTGAGTATAAAAGTACTTTAATGTAATTTCTTCTAAATGACAAAATACAACACACACTGATTAATCGGCATGTACCAGAACATTTTTGTACCTTTAATTCCTGGTAAATCTATACTGGCATGTTCATGTATACCAATACCATTCCTTATTATACGTAATGATCCTTCTTTATAGGCTCCAGAGCATGTGACTAACTGAAATAATAATTTTTATTCTATTAGTTACAAATATTCAGTGAGTACATTTAAACAGTGTTCTACACCTAAGTCATTATTTCAGGCAAAGCTAATACTTAAAAATTCTTTTAAAAAATATTTATGGCCAATATGTGTAAAATTTTGAACGTATTGGTTAACAGGAAGTTGAGGAACAATGAATGTGAAAACACATCATACTTACCTAAACCTCACTACTGAATTTCAGGAAGCTCTGATTTGCAGTTCCTTAGGAAAATGCAATGCAGACAGATGGGGGTACATATGTAAACTAATATACCTCATTAGGAACAAGTGTATACAAAATTAAATGATTTTATGCAATATCTTAATAAGATATGAAAACGTGAGCAGTTCAAAAATCCACAAATTATGTATATATACTAACCTGTCCTTGACCTTGTCTTTCAAGGTCAACAACACACATATCCAGGATGGGCCCAAGGTTTGTAAATCTTTCCATCTCCTGTACATATGACCCATTTTCATCTGATTCAACATTTAACTGCAAAAAATTAGCTAAAAAAATATTATCAAGTAAAAAATTGACCATTCACAAAGGAAACACTGAACGTGAATTGGAAAATAAATTACACTGATCATTAAAAATGAATTAAATATTAGTTTGAAGTGGGATTTACCTTGACAAGCTGTGAATCTCCTAGTCTGGATCCAATATAAACAACACCATTATCCAAGTATGTGATACATTCAGCTATCGTTGTCTACAAAATACATCACAATAAAACAATCAATTAAAGTTAAATCAATTTATTCAGAGCTAAGATACTTATGAAGTTTAATATTAAAGCATTGATAAGTCATACAATGTTATTTGCTGCCAGTTTTGGAAGTAAACATTAAAGCACACCCAGGTCCCCAAAATGCAGTACTCAACAATGCAATTAGTTACATTACCATTACATCTGAAAAATCTTTTGAATGTATATAATCATTACCACTAATTAGAAACAAAACAGTAATTACCGGTAGTCAAATTATTTAACTTCAAAATTAAGGAAAATACCTCAAAATTAGGGAAAATGAAATTTAATTTGTCCACTTCTGTCTATAGAGTTTAGTGTAAATATTCCCATCTATCTTCCAACTTTGTTTAATAATTTGTCATTTTTAAGGGTATTCAGTGTACAGCATGGTTATTTATTTAAATATATGATGACATCATGATCTCTTCTGTAGAAGTTTATTGTTGGGTGGCTGTCGCATTAATGTTCATCCTAAACGTTGGGACATATTTACAAATACTTATAGTCTCGCTGTTGTATTTTGTAAAACATTGAATATTGCTGCCAGACTCAGGACAAAATTAATTGCAATACTATCCACTACATATCCTTAACTGTCAATATAAATAACTAGACAATTAGAAATATCTTACCTCACCAAGGAATTCTACTTTGAGATCTTTCACGACAACAGTATTGTCCATTTTTTCTTCTTTTTCTAGAAGCAACAGGAACAATCGACCAGCCATATCACCAAGGAGATATCGTGATCCATTAGCATCCACTTTACCATAACAAGTTAAAGTACTTTGCTAAAAAATTAATACCATGCAAATATGTATAACCCATTTTGTGATTTTATTTTACTCAAACTTGCAGGAATATTACAGTTAAGTTGAAATGTTATAACTTGTATTGATTTGAGATGGGTTTTTTTTCCCATTAATGATGCCCTTGACCTTGACCTTTTATTCTACGTCTGAATATTATTTCCATAAAGTTTCATGACTTTGTAAAGTCAAGTTAATTCTGTAAAGTGTATACATGTACCTTGATAGCAGGAGGTGCCACAGGTAAGCAGTTATCTCCCTTCTGGTATGTAATGGATTCCTGTCCTATAATCAAGGCGCCACCAAAAGGCTCTGGCACTATAACAGGTAAAGAAAATGTTATAGAAGTTTTAAAATCACATATAAAACTAATCTGGCGCGAGTTATTTCAGCTGTTAATCTAGAATATAAAATATGAATATGGTATATGGTATAACTAGAGAGAACATATATGAATAATTTGAAAATATTTAGCATCATGTTTGATATCTTAAAAATCTTTATGCTTATATTTATCTTAGGTTCACATTTTCCCAACCCTTATAACATTCACTATTTCATAATGAAAGCAAGATTTTCCAGACAGAAAAATATCAAACTAATATTGCAGATAAATCCTATGGAGGTAAATTATTGAATATGAAAATTGAACACAAAACAAATATTTATGGTTTTGGAATTTAACTCAATTTTATGAAAGGTGGACCAATATTTCAACTTTCAATAGAATATTCATTTACATGACATAAAGGAAAATGAGTTCCCACAAATTTTAGAAAAGATGATTTCCAATATTACAATTATTTTCCTAAGTCACTATATTAAGAAACAAAATAACTGATTTTCTGATTTGACTACCCAAATTTAAACAAGTGGTACAAGCAAGACTGATAAGAGATCCATACTAGATACCAGTAAAGAATTATACAAAGCTTAAACAAATGAAGCTTGTTCTAAAACAACTTTTTAAAAGTCTAGTGGTCAGTATAAATAAATGGGGTGTGTGTCCATGGGACACAGATGCCATGGACACAGATGATGCCCCTGCTTGCATATCATTTAAAGTTATAAAGGGACATAACTGAACAAGGGTAAAAGTGATGCTACCCAAATTTGTTATTGATCTGAGTTTTGTAGTAATAAGTATTGTGTATAAGTTTCATAACATTTGGTTGAGGCAAACTTAAGTTAGAGAACGGAAACGAAAAATTCAGCAATTTTTCCTTTTGTAAAGGGGCTTAACTCTAGAAAAGTAAGAGTGACACCACCAAAACTCAAACTTGATCTGTATTTTGTGGTAATAAGCATTGTGTATAAGTTTCATAACATTTGGTTGAGGCTAACTTTAGTAAGAGAACGGAAACGAAAAATTCAGTAATTTTTATACGACCGCAAAATATTTTTACGGTCGTATATTGGTATGACGTTGGCGTCGTTGTCCACATTGGTTTTCGCACTATAACTTTAGTTTAAGTAAATGGATCTCTATAAAATTTAACCATAAGGTTGAATATCACAAAAGGAAGGTTGGGATTGATTTTGGGGGTTATGGTACCAACAGTTAAGGAATTAGGGGCCAAAAATAAGCATTTTCTAGTTTTCAGATAATAACTTGTGGAACGGTGTATGGATCTCTCTGAAATTATACCACAAGTTTCCATACCACACAGGGATGGTTAGGATTTGCTTTGGGGGGTATGGCTTAAACCGTTTAGGAATTAAGTGCAAAAAAGGAGGAAAAACAAGGTTGTCCTGGTTAATTGACAAATACTTTAGTACAAAACATAATTTAAAGCAGTTTAAGGGAGATAAATCAAATACATCATTTGTATTACCTCCTTTACACTGCTTTTAAATTATGTATAAAGTAATGGTTAATGAACAATTAAAACAATTTAAAACAGTGTAAGGGAGGTAATCCAAATACAACGTTTTGATTACTTCCCTTACACTGCTTTTAACTTATAAATTATGTTTAAAGAAATGCATATTTATAAAGGAAGACCAGTAAAAATATCTGCAAATTTTGCATCTTGCATGAAAGATTTGACACCATATTTTAAATTCTATTATAAAATAGATTAAGTTAGCACTATGGTAAATTTAAATGGGTAATTATGGTTGCAAATTCCACTGGAAATTTGGATTGAGATTATGACCATATCTTGAGGGAAAGAATTTTTATGGGGAAAAAGGGGGGGGGGTAAAAAGAAATTGTGAGGGGTTAATTTTTTTCTCATTTCAGATTTCAGAAATTAAAAAGAATTATTCTTCAAATATAATTTTTTTTTCAAATTTCAAATATTGAAAAAATTGCAAGAAGTAATCTTTAACTGCACAGTATGGCGCATTAGATCAGGGTCCGACACTTACGGTTGTCCGATTGCCCGGGGCAAGCTAATGCCGTATTCGGACAAGTAAAAACATCATCTTGGTTGTCCGATCGGGCAAGTGAAAAAAAAAGTGTTATATGATTAAAATTTCACAAAATCAATAGTGTCTGTTGTTTTGTCCATAGATTACTCAGTGATAACACCGCACGGTCGAGTAAAATGGTCTTAACCCCCCTTAAATGCGTATATTTAGTCAATTGTTCGCACTGAATTCCCCATTTTACCAAAAATAGATCACGTTTAAAAATATTGGCCAATCAGGCGGCCGCGGCGTTGCTTCGTCATTATCGTTATCCATCGGGACACCACTCGGGCGTTTCCGATGCACGTGTTATTCCCACCGACCAATGGAAAGCGGAGGTCTATTTTCGTTGTTCTAACTTTATAATTTGACATCGGATGTGTATTTCCCTAAGATGGAAAAACGTAAAAGCTTGAAAGAGAAAATGAAATTAAACTTTAACAAATTTGTCAGTTGTTGTCAGTTTATCAAGAAGGGTTTTTTGAAATGGCATTTCTTAGATAAATTATTATGAAATAAGTATCTCTATGTAAATGATCCAATAGTATATTTTCATACTCCATAATCAATTTACACCCCATATACATGATAACTATATTTTATCTGCATGTACTACATTACAACCACAAAAATAGCATGTAAAAGTTTGGGCATGTAGATTTCACTTTCGGACAAGTAAAAGTAATAGGGCACTTGCCCAACTGGACAAGTTGGTATAAAAGTTAATGTCGAACCCTGTAGATTTGTAAAATTTATTTGTTATGCCAAATCTGACCGTGTATTTAGATTTTGAATTTTGGGTCCAGTTTTCAAATTGGTCTACATATAGATTGAAATAAACAATTAATTTCCCCATAGGCGACAATGATAGCCTTTTTCGAGATACAGACTTTAGAAAGTTGATTTTCTTAACGAAACCTTGCTAGAATTAAAGAAAAGTTATTAGGACAGTATTTTTTGGTTCCAAAAATATAGGTTCGTGTTGCTTTTCTTAGCGTAATTTGTACTTATCTCCCATGCCTATCAATTTTGCACTTAAAAATACGTGTCTCATCCTAGCGTTTAAAAGACATCTCAGTTCCGTTAGGGCTAAGGAAAATAATTTATTGGCCTTTGGTATAATGCAGAATGCACGAAGTCTCTAATAACAAAAAATAACGAGCGCACATATCAACCAATCAGGATTAGCTATACTCTTAATTCTGAATACCATGTTATGCTCATAAAATGGCTGCGCCCATAAAATCTAATGGTGTATTGTAACCTATATGGTATTTAATACTTTCTAGAATCATGCATTCATAGTTCGTTAGATGCACAAATATATATGCCACACAAAAATCATCTTCAAAACGTTCTGGCATTACTCTCTGAATTTTCACAATTTTTTATCAGAGGTGACCCCAGTCAAAAAATGGGGAAAAAAATTTTCTGATTTTTTGAGTAAATGCGGGTACTGCTAAAAAGGGCCTGAAGATAATGTCCACTTACTCCAATGATTCTTTGTATGTCATCAAGTACTGATTATATTGATACCAAAACCGATCCAATACGTAACTACTACGGTGAATTTTGAACAACAGTTTTAAATGAAACCATTTTCGTATAAAAGTACATTTTTGAAACAGACTATAGCATTTCAAAATATGAAAAATGTGTAAATATTTGTGTTTAAACATCGAAAACTATTCGTTAACTACAAAATGTCATGCCTATTCTATTTTTTATAGTCTGTCATTCGAGTGAACATTTCAATGTTCGAAGGGGATCATTTCTGTACATTTTCACTGAATTTGGTAATTTCCATAACAGCACTTGGATCGAGATTGTCATGTTTAAAAATCGATTTGTATATCCAAACTCTAGACGTGTACGTGCTTTTTTCAAACAAATCAGCAGAAGTTCAGAAAATGACATATTCTCTCCACAGTATGTCAAAAGTCAAACCCACCCTTGTTTCTAAGGTAAAACGCAATACAAAAATGAAACAGACTATAGCTTAAAAACTAGTTAATCAATAATTCATTTGTCACCAAAAAATACGGTTTCACATCAAATATCAAGTAAAATTACTGTTTTTGACACTTTTTGAGCACTATGATAAAGAAATGTCGACGCTGTATAGATTGAAATAAACAATTAATTTCCCCATAGGCGATAATGATAGCCTTTTTCGAGATACAGACTTTAGAAAGTTGATTTTCTTAACGAAACGTTGCTAGAATTAAAGAAAAGTTATTAGGACAGTATTTTTTGGTTAAAAAAATATAGGTTCGCGTTGCTTTTCTTAGCGTAATTTGTACTTATCTCCCATGCCTATCAATTTTGCACTTAAAAATACGTGTCTCATCCTAGCGTTTAAAAGACATCTCAGTTCCGTTAGGGCTAAGGAAAATAATTTATTTGGCCTTTGGTATAATGCAGAATGCACGAAGTCTCTAATAACAAAAAATAACGGGCGCACATATCAACCAATCAGGATTAGCTATACTCTTAATTCTGAATACCATGTTATGCTCATAAAATGGCTGCGCCCATAAAATCTAATGGTGTATTGTAACCTTAAGGTCCAAAGGGTCCAAAATTAAACTTAGTTTGATTTTAACAAAAATTGAATACATGGGGTTCTTTGATATGCTGAATCTAAACATGTATTTAGATTTTTGATTTTGGGCCCAGTTTTCAAGTTGGTCCAAATTGGGGTCCAAAATTAAACTTTGTTTGATTTCAACAAAAATTGAATCATTGGGGTTCTTTGATATGCCAAATCTAACCGTGTATTTAGATTTTAAATTTTAGGTCCCGTTTTATAAATTGGTCTACATTAAGGTCCAAAGGGTCCAAAATTAAACTTAGTTTGATTTTAACAAAAATTGAATTCTTGGGGTTCTTTGATTTGCTGAATCTAAACATGTGTTTATATTTTTGATTATGGGCTCAGTTTTCAAGTTGGTCCAAGTTGGGGTCCAAAATTAAACTTTGTTTGATTTCAACAAAAATTGAATATATTCTTTGATATGCTGAATCTAACCATGTAGTTTGATTTTTGGGCCCCATTATCAAATTGGTCCACATTGAGGTCCAAAGGGTCCAAAATTAAACTTTGTTTGATTTCATCAAAAATTGAATTCTTTGGATTCTTTGATATGCTGAATCTAACCATGTATTTAGATTTTGGATATTGGACCATAATAGATAAATTAAAAAAATTTAAGTTCTTAGACCACATTCATTCTGTGTCAGAAACCTATGCTGTGTCAAATATTTAATCGCAATCCAAATTCAGAGCTTTATCAAGCTTGAATGTTGTGTCCATACTTGCCCCAACTGTTCAGGGTTCGACCTCTGCGGTCGTATCAAGCTGCGCCCAGCGGAGCATTTTATTCCATTTGTAAAGGGGCATAACTCTATAACGGCAAACTAAAGTTAGAGAACGGAAACCAACTTTGGGACGTACGGACAGACAAGGGTAAAACTTAAATGCCCCCTCCACTACGGCGGGGGCATAAAAATTGAAATTGTTTGATGAGCATGTTGACCTACAACACAAATTATGCCAATCAAAAACAATCTATTCACAAATTTACAATCTAAAAACACGGTGCAATGAACAAAATAATCCAACTACAGATGTACAGATTTATCACTATTAATGACTAAAATTTTTACCTGCAATAACCATACAAGCTTCAGTTTCAACATTATCTTGTTTCCAAGGACCTTTCTGAAATTCCTTCACACTTAAATTTATCTCGTAAGTCTTCACATGTCTCCCATGGGGATCCTACATTATAAATAAACATAACATTGGCAATGGTAATGTCTTATTTCTCGTTTGTTTGCATGTTATTAAGTATAGATACTATTGTACTATTATCAATAGTTAAACACACAAGAGATGGACAATTTTTATTGTAATATCCTTGAACTTAAAATCTATTTATAATTAAACACATAATAGATGGTCATGTAACAAAATCATCACATTTAGACAAATGGTTCATTCTTTACCATTTACATCATGGATCTAAGAAGTGCTCACTGACAAAGATCTGATTATATCTGCCTACCTGATGAATAAGAATAAGGGTAGGTGTTGTACAGCCATGTAAAAACTGTATATCTATAACTGTCAGTTCTTCTAACCTGCAATACATTTATACAAACATTATTTCTTATAAAATTTGTACCTTTAAAAGGCTTGTATAGTCCGCGGTTTTATTCTCCAAAATTGACCCTGACAGCAGGGGTGCAGACTATAGAGTACAATAAGCAAGAAATAAGAGAGAAAATTTCAATTTCGCGATGTGGTTTGTTTACGTTCCGCCATGTTTGTTATTGACATTGTAGAGGGCGCTCTTATCATTTTTCAAACCAATAATTTTACCCAATCCATATTAATAAGTTATTTTTATTCAATATCAAATTAATACTGATAAATTTAAAAATTAAATGCTTCATTACAAAATTCTCGTTTCTTTTCAATGCATTGCTAATATAAACTGGTATCTGCTTGAGTGAAATCGTACAAAAAAAGTAAAAGAAGACAACCGTAAACCAGCTTACGATGTGTAAACTACAAAACGTAATCTGTTATTATTCGATCCGTTTTGGTGTTTCCTATTGACAAATATGTTTTGTATTAGCTTAAGACCCTTCAAACATATGTGATAGATATATTAAACACTGTCTTACATAAGGAGGGAACTGTTTTACTTTCAAAGTCGTATTATAGTGATATCTATTATGTACGGATTTCGACTCTCACCGGGTTTTTTATCTTTTACACGTGCTTTTCAAACTTCCGTTTTGAACATACACAAGTTTCTAAATTGTTTTTTGTGTGATTTAGACTTATTTTAACCAGCGTGAAGTGTTTTAGAACCATTTACAAGAAGTTTCAACTTCTGTTTGGTGATGGAAAATAGGTTTTTCCAAGAAAATACCGCAAACGACCACACAGGATTCAAAATTAACGGAGTTTCATTAGACCTTTTCTAACAGTTACAAAAAGTTTTTTTACCTGAAATTTCGTGGGGAGAAGGGGTGCGGACTATGTACCAGTGCGAACTATACAAGCCCGATTACGGTAGGTATGCAACCATACACAACATTGACTCAGATATGAGAAATATTCTCAAGAATTTGAGTAATATTTCAACCATTTACCAATATTGAGAAATGAGGGAACAAAGCACTAAAGATTTTGGATGTTTCATTATATAAACTTAAATCATACTTCTCAAATGAACAAACTTTGCAGGAAATTCATCAAAAGAGGAAACAATGGCAAATTAATTAGTATAAAATTCATTCATTTTATTTTCCATTTTTTCCTTTCATTTCCATTCTCCTCCCAAATTTACATAATATTGAGATATATATTTACTTTATTAATTCATGAAATTCTCAAAAAACACTTCTTTCAATGTTTAATTCCATTAATATTGAAATTATAATAAAACTTTTCAATGTAAAATATTTTAAACACATGTCTGCGTTTAAATGATATTTCAGTTAGTTAGTATTAATTTTCAGCATACCTGATATTAAATGCTTTCAGCTCTTTGTTGTCTCTGTCAAGAGGAATTACTTTAAACAGGCCATCATAAAGCCTGAGACCAATTACTCTACAAAGTGGATCTACAATTCCAATAATACCAGTCTCGGATGGTCTTCCAATACGGTCCTGTATAATAAACACCATATCATAATAAACCCACATTTCAGCTCGAGTCTGAACGGCTTAAACAATTAAATGGTCAAATTAATCCAACATTTCCACTTGAACCTGAATGGTTTAAACAGTAAACTAATCTGTCAGACATTTTCATTTAATTTAATTGACAATCATTCAAGTCACACCTTCCCTGAATTTCTGTTACATTTGTATATCTTATAATATGATCGGCAAATTTGTTTCAATTACTTTTTGAAATTTTCTGGTAGTATATTGTCATGAAAACCATTACCACTCAATTTATTCCATAGAAAGATGTAGCCAATAGGATTTGTTTCCCACATTCATTGAGAATTTAACTATCAGTTCCCACATTCATTGAGAATTTAACTATCAGTTCCCACATTCATTGAGAATTTAACTATCAGTTCCCACATTCATTGAGAATTTAACTATCAGTTCCCACATTCATTGAGAATTTAACTATCAGTTCCCACATTCATTGAGAATTTAACTATCAGTTCCCACATTCATTGAGAATTTAACTATCAGTGAAACATTTATAAAAGCTGACTGGTAAACACAATTTGTAAATTAAAAAAAAATATTCAAATGGCAAGGATTGTTGTCAATATATTTTGCAATTCTCCTTTACCACAATATCAAAAGAGTGTCAAACAAAATTTGAATAAGGGAGTTATCACAAAACTAGATGATTCAACTGCTTTTAAAATGGGATAAACTGGTGTTTCAATTTCCAAGGCTCAACAGCAATTTTCTGGGCTATTTTTTCAACTTAGATAGCAATATCAAAATGAAAGATCAGCTGTCTGTATTAACATTATTGAAGTAGGTATTTTTTCCAAAGCTTATACTGTCAGTTCTATAGAGGAATATGGGGTTCTTTTGTCCTTTGTTGTGCTGTTACACAACTGTTCCAAGTTAGGGGAGGGTAAGGCGCCCCAAAAAATGTTTAACCTCGCCATATAAATTGTATTTTGATATGTCTGGGCCTTTGAAAGCTTGCTAGCATTATGGGAATTGCTCTTGTTAAAGGTTGTACAGTAACCTATAGTTGCTAACATCTACATCATTTGGTTTCTGGTGGATAGTTATCTCATTTGCAATTATATCACATCTCCTTATTTAATACTGGTAATCTTACACTGACATCTTAGAAACAGTTGCCAATTTACAGTGGTATATATAAAGTAGATTTGACTGTACCTGTACATTTCCATGTGCTCTGGTAATGATATCAATATTTTCACCATCCTGCTGACATTCTAATATCATGGCATTGTAACGTGAGGTCAAGATAAACATAACATCCTTAGATTCTCCCTGTAGGAAATTTAACACTCATTCTAATTTTCATGAATACAAAGCAATTTTTTATTGTAAAATTATCAAGTCATATGCTATGGATTTGTTATTTATTATACTACCTTTTGAGGGTTTTGCAAGCAAAGGTAAATCACTGACAGTGTTTTAAATCTTACACAAAATACTAATTCCCTAAATGCTTGTATGTAGGATTTAGGGAAATCAAGCATCCACCAAAATACATCTTTTCCTTTATCCATGAAAATAAATAATTGCTCTGTAAAACATTTTAAGCCAGATCAATAAATTTCAATTTTCCAATGTTCCATATTTTGATTAAGACAATTTATTCTATATTTTGATGTAAAATGATTAATTATGGTAAATGCTCAAAACTCGTATACATGGTATACTTGACAAAGAAATCTTGAACAGGTGTATACTATGTACATGAAAAAATATCAATTGTGGACAAAGTATTGTTCTTGACAGTAACATGGTTCTATCCACAAAGTAATCCTGAAATGAATACCAGCCTTTTATTTGTAAGAACAATGAACAAGCTAAGGCAATGTATAAAAATTTCATTTGAATTTGAAAACTTTAGCCTAATTTTCCACAAGTGAAAAAGCATAGTGTCCACAAAAAGGAAAATGATCACAAACCAATACCATAAAAACACTGACCATAGGAAATTGCAGTAAAGAAAAAAACATACACAAAGGAATATTGAGTGTTACATTTTCCAGATTTTTCTTGTCAAAGAATACTAGTAGATTAATACATATATATATACAAAACTGCACTATTTTCTTTATCAACTTTTTTTTATTATAGTACTTTAAAATGACACATTTTTCATACAATAGTATTGAGTGCAAACTTACAGGAGGTCGGAATAGTTCCATAACATCAATTCTACCATTTATACCAACTTCTTTTATTGGTCTTAATCCCTCAGGTGTTACAACATATATCTCCATACGGGTATTTCTAGCAATAATGAGATTGAGGTCATCTGATGATGTGAAGTTACCTGTGAAATCAAATCAAAATCTGTTTAACATAACATTTCAAATATTATACAATTTAGTACAAATATTTCATCCAAATTTCAGTATACATATTCATTAAGTCTGCAATTTCAAGCAGTACCCTGTCTAGTAAATAATGTATGTAAATAAATAAATAGTGTATGTACTTAGGAAGTTAGGTGCTAGTCTTGCTCTTCATTGACATCATTAAAAAGATCCACTCTTTTTTAGTTTTAATGTTACTATTTAACATTTCTTTTTCTGTCATTAAAATCCGCCTATAGTGAAATTTCTTCCAAAATTATCAATTTTTTTTAGCATCACCTACAACAATAGTAATTCAAATTGAGGTCAGTTGATAACACATGTGAGAACCAGAAAGTCAGGAGGTATTACACTTATACTGACCTATCACAAAGGCAGAGATTTGATTGATTGATTGGTGTTTAACGCCACTTTCAACACTATTGTGCTATTTCGTGGCGGTCAGTTTTGATTGGTGGAGGGAGCCAGAGTGCCCGGAGAGAACAACCGACCTTCAGAAGGAAAACTGACAATCCTAGTCAATTAAGATTGGAGTAGAACGCACCTGCCCTGTGCAGGATTCGATCTCACAACCTCAGTGTTGACAGGCTAGTGATAGTTAGTTCGACTACTTAGACCACTCGGCCACCGGCAGAGATTTAAAAACATTCATGCAACAAATTTTCAAGAGGAAAAAACAGTGGGATTATTTAGTATTACCTAGGCCTGAACCCTAAAGTATTGTCCACAATAATACCATGTGTTTTGAAACATTAGGAGGGACACTATGCTATCAAAACCGAATGCGGGTCTGTTTGCCCAAAATCACGTTCCCTCCCATTCATGTTTGCCCCCCCAACACATTCACACCCTTTTTTTTTGTTTCGTGTGGAATAAAGTTTTAATCCTGTTTAAGTTAGTGTATTGCTAAATAAAATAAGTTTTTCTTAATGTTTCAAAATATCGTGACATACTAAAAACGTAAACAGGTTGCCTTTATTGTTTTATTATTTTACCAATTATTTTGACGAAATGAATCATGAATCAAAAAAATTCATAAAGATTAAGGCAAAGTTCATTCATCTAACATGTCTAATATAAAAAAGAAGATGTGGTATGATTGCCAACGACAACCACTGAATTACAGGCTCCTGACTTGGGACAGGCACATACATACAGAAAAAGACTTGTAAAAGAAAGGCGAAAGATACTTAATCTTCATGGAGTTTACTAATACCAAGCTAACTACATGCAGTATTTACATCAAAGCTAGTTATAACAACAATCTTGATTTTCAAATACAGAACAATACCAAATTTGGCTTTGTAAATACCAATTTACAGTAATCACTATATTTAAATATTTGGATAAAACATCTAATAAAATATCTAATAATTCATCAAGTATATAATAATATGGTGCGAATGAAACCAGGGGGCGAACGTGCGGGTGTGATGGAACCCAGGAGGCTAACGTGCGGGTGTGATCAAACCCAGGAGGCGAACATGGGGCTGTGAACGTGTATAGGGAGCCAACAGACCCGATACCATCAAAACCACTGTCAGGTCTATGCCTATGGTGAAACAATGAAAAGGAATACTGCTATAGCAAAACTGAGCATGATATTCAACAGATGGTCAAAATCCTAAAGTACGTTACATCATGAAAAGTATTATCTTTTCATTCGAAAACCAATTAGTTATAAATATAAATTATATCAGAAAATAGCCCAGCTAAACAGAAATTTATTATTATCTCCCTTCAATTTTCACATTTTGTTTATGGAACTCATGAACGACACTGCATTTAAACTGTCAATGAGGGGAAAGAATGAGGAAGAATTTGTTAACCTGTAACACATGCATTGACTGCCGTCGGCTTATGTGCCGTAACAACATAGTTATATGCCATGTTCTATATTTTCAGTAGTCAGCCTGTAAGTTTTATTTCAGCGCATGCCTGGCGGGAAGTCTTTTAACGTTAGAGGCGAGCATATATAAAATTTACGGGTGAAACGAAGAAATGAAAAACCTAATTAATTTACCACATACAGACTTGTAAATAAACTGTATATACTTGTATGATATTTAGCATGGTGGGGTTTTTTAATATTGATTAAAGTATTATATACACTCTACTAGAGGTTGTCCCGAAGGACGGGAAAAGATTCAGCGGTAAGGTACATTTCAGTTAACAATGTTAAAACTCTCGATGAACCTGAATCACTCAGTAGGTAAACATATACCACAATGAAAGATACCAAAGGGTCATTCAAACTCATAATTCGAAAACAAACTGACAACCCCATGTTCTGTTCTGTTATAGAAAATCCCTCCTTCAGATCTTCTTCTCTAATTAAGTTTCTAGCGATCCTTCATTAAATGAAGATTATTCGCCAGGAGTCGACTTTAAATTTACAATTTGATCTATAATTTACATTGTAATCAGAAAAAAGAAACAAAATTAAAAAATCAAAATGATATAAGTTGTACATTTGAAAAATAACATTTATAAGATAAAACTATATACATTGTGGGACAAATATACTAACAATATTATATATTGTGTCCCAAATACATTTGATAACAATAACAGTTAGGGGCAGAAAATAGGGATTAGAGCAGATTATGGTATCATACTCTTAATACCCTGTACTGTACTGCATGAAACTATTTGTTGTGGCAATTTGTTCCAATTAATAACTGCACGCGGATAAAATTAATATTTATAACTGCCTTTAGATGTTTGTATTTGCCTAAATGTGGATTGCTATGTCTGGTTCTATTGTCTAGTGGAATCAAAAGGTTAATTAAATGTAGGAACTGCAACAATTTCGTGTATAATTTTTTAAAAGCAAGAAACAAGTCTGGGCTGATATGCATAAAACTTTAAGTTAAGATATCCAATCGTATTAATTTATCGTAGGACATGTAGAAAAATCTGTCCGTTCGGAACAAATCTTAACTTAAGTAGTTTTATGCATATCAGCCCTGCATCTTCAACGCCTAATTTCAAGTGGGTATCAAATAATTTAGGTCTGTCATCATATCAGTAACTGAGCTGGTGTTATGGAAGCGGTTGCATGTGAAGCGGGCTGCTCTTCTCTGTACTTTTTCAATTTGTGAAATTTGTTGTTTTTGATGTTAATCCCAAATAGTTGAGCAGTACTCTAATTTTGGTCGGAATGCATGAGCTTTAAGTTTAGGTGAGGCTATTTTAAGGTTTCTGCGAATAAATCCAATAGACTGGTTTGCTTTTGATGTCATGTTATCGATATGTTTATCCCATTTCAAGTTTGATTGAGGAGTTAGGCCTAAATATTTTGTAGAGGGAACTTTTTCGAAAGTCTAAAGGTTTTCGTTGTTGTGTTACACCGAGAATGTTGCATTAATCAGGGCGAAAAATGCATGAGCCAGTCCCGCTCCCATCTGCCCTTTGTGTCAAACTTAAATTCAATGAATGCGCAACATTTTTCAAGTGATTTTCATCCTTTATCTGTCACTGTCTATGAGCTTTTTTAATAACAAGGTCAAAGTTATTTTACAAAATATAAAAAATGACACATGAGGTTCCCATTGCAACCAACCTAGCAATCTGAATACCAAACCTTTAGTTTTAAATTATTCTTAGGCAACAGTGATAGTTTTACATTAATAGCCTCAATATAAATGAGTGTAGATGTAAAAATGTGTAATTATGTCATGCAAAATGCCTATATTTTTTCTAGATGTTTCATAATATTACTAGCTACAACATGTTCTAAGAGTTTGCAGCAGATACACAATAATTGACAGCCCTTAGAAAATAGTGTTTTCCTAGATTTCCTCTTTTCGTAAATTGCTCTTAATGAAACAGACCAGTTAGTGTTTTATAAATTTATTTTTTCTAAAAAAAAAAAGAAAAAAAAAGAATCACAATTGTCAGATTACTTTGATAATATATTTAATCCTTTTCAGTATGTGAATTTAGAGGTGAACATGGGTGTCAGACAAACTGGAAGACTGGCGTTTGATAAAAATTAGTTTTGCTACAGTAGTTATAGCCCTTCAAACAGTTACTGTCTGCCTCACAATACTTCATTGGTAAAATGTTCACCATTTTCATTAAGTGTGTTTTCTTTAAAATCAAATTATCTCCTGAAATCGCCGGAGTATTTAAAAAAAAGAAAAAAAAAAGAAAAGAAAACAACGGTTTCGAGCAGCAGTCTGAACAGTTGGCCTACCATCAATAACACGGTGTTGGAACTGACCAGTCCGTGTTTTTCCGACCCCCCCCCTTTTCCCCAATTTAAAAAAAAAATCCGTTTTCCCATAGTATAGATATATATATATATTTATCCCTTTTGATGTCTTTTTTGTTTGTCGTCACAAGTTAGGTTGCTGTCTCAATGACATGTACACTACATCCCCTTTTATTAATGTATATCAACGGTTAAAGCTGGATCATACGGAAGCCGTAATACGGAAGCCCAGAGGGGACCTACAAAAAAAATAATATTATATCGTTATCTCAATATATATATCGTTATTTCGATATAATTCAATCGTTATCTCGATATATTTATCTCGTTATCACGATATTTATATCGTTATATCGATATATAATTATTTCGTTATCTCGATATAATTATATCGTTATCTCCATATATTTATTTCGTTATCTCAATATATATATATCGTTATTTCGATATAATTAAATCGTTATCTCGATATATTTATCTCGATATTTATATCGTTATATCGATATATTTATTTCGTTATCTCGATATAATTATATCGTTATCTCCATATATTTATTTCATTATCTCGATATAATTATATCGTTATCTCGATATAATTATATCGTTATCTCGATATTTATATCGTTATTTCGATATTTATATTGTTATTTCGATATAAATATATCGTTATCTCCATATATTTATTTCGTTATCTCTATATAATTTTATCGTTATCACGATATAATTAAATCTTTATCTGGATATATAGTTAAGGTGCACCTTTTTTGCAAATAACTCAAAAAATTATACATATATCAAAATTCTAGCAGAGGGTAAAATTGATTAGTACATAATGATCTGTATCTGCCAAATTTTAAGTTTAGGTTGATCGGAAAACTTTTTTAAGAGCTATTGGCCTATATTTGCAATTTTTTCAAATCTTCATATTAGTTTTGACAATATCTTGAAAGTCGTAAAAGCTAGAGCCTTTTTTAGTTTTTCATCAATATTCCATTTACAGAAATGTCATTTATCCAGGAGCAATAGAAAGCTATCAAAGTCCACTTCAATCTTTATTTAACAATGAGTTTAAGAAATGCACAGTTTGCTATGCATAATGATAAGCGCATACAATATCAAAAAAATATAAATGCATGATAATTATATAAAAACTTTCATTGGTAGAATATATGGAAATATAGAAAGTAATTTTGAAAATTTAGGCGAAATGTATGTCTTACTCTAAAAGAAGTATATAAATATATGCAGTGTTGTATATGTATAGATTATTACATGGCATTTTTCATATCAGACCCTTTATCGGCCCTAGGTCATGATATCAGCCCAAGAGCCGTAGGCTCGAGGGCTGATATCATGAACGAGGACCGATAAAGGGTCTGATATGATAAATGACATGTAATTATCTTTTTATCATATACTTCAACAGAAGAAATACAGACAAGAACTATTAATTAAAATTTTGTCTTTCCATGAATTTTTAGATAATAATTTACAGACAACCAAATACAAATTTCTTAACTTTAATTATTTTTATTGATATTACAAGCATTTTATTTATCTTGTCACAACAGTTATCATGAACTTAGTTTGAAAATATGCTCCTCAACCATTTTGTGAAAAGTCTTAAATCGCTTGCGGTTTTCCGCTCTGTGTTGTCGTTTTCGAACAATCTGGAAATGCACGACGTTGCATGTGATAAACGTCACGGAAATTAACGGAAAGGCATGTGATAACATTCCGGAAGCAGTCAATAAAGGTTCCTTTATCAGCCCGCTGAGGAAATTCTTAGGAATCTGATCAATAAACCTAGTAATCCTTTCATAGCCTTTTAATATTTTTAAATGTTATTGAACTGTAAAATTTTAGTAATATTTTATACAAGTATATGATAAGTATACTTATTATATACTTAGTAGTAAATACAGATAAATTGTATGTGTAATACAATCATTGGCAAGCGTGCTGTATCAGCCACCCGTGATGATATCGATATCAGCACTGTTGCAAAGGCTTTATCACACCTTTAATCTATATGACGTCACGTCATCGATTGCAGTCACTGTTGCAAAGGCTTTATCAAACCCCTAATCTGTATGACGTCATGTCAAACCTCTATTCTGTATGACGTCATTTCAACCCCCTTATCTGTATGACGTCATGTCACATTAAACGCATCTACGTGAGGTATATGTATATAATAAAGTGTATATGATATAGCTTTTTCAATATCACACACCGTATCAAGCAGAGCTCTTGGGATTATATTGCTGTCTCGGGTTGATACGGATGTGATATTGAAAAAGCCATATGATATTCTCTATATATTTCAAAATACGTCTAAATATCAGCCCAACAATGTTAGGTCTGTAAATTTGCTCTCGCAAATTTTTTGTTCTTCCCTCGCCGGGATTCGAGCTCCTGATATATCGTGGCACCAAATCGCCTTGCACTATGCCCGAATCGCGCTAGACCACTCAACCACCTAGGCTCTACAATAATAAAGCTTTCGGTGGCCGGATGTTACTTTTCCTCGTCGTATATTTTAAAATATATATACATATACAACACTGCATATATTTATAAGCTTCTTTTAGAGTAAGAAATACATTTCGCCTAAATTTTCAAAATTACTGTTTCTTATTTGTTTTTATCGATTAAATCAAATTCAAATTTTAGATAAGCTCGAGCCTTTGTTTAAATTGGAAATTGTTCAGATCATTAAGA